AAATCAATTTATTAAATACAAAACAGAAAACATTCAGTTCAGGTTAATACAGCTACATATAGCCAAAAATGTAAATACACAAAAGTAAAAAAAATAAATAAATGAAAGAAAGCAAACAAAGCAATGTAAGACTATAGGATTTCATCATGTGAAAGTTGATGTGTGCAAAAGTCTTATCTGTAGTACATCAATGTCCAAACACTGTCCATAGCTGAAGTTGACTGATAGCAAATTAATAATCCAACCTCTTGTAATGAAAACACACCACAGCTCTCAAACACCAGAAAATAAATAAATGAAAGAAAGCAAACAAAGCAATGTAAGACTATAGGATTTCATCATGTGAAAGTTGATGTGTGCAAAAGTCTTATCTGTAGTACATCAATGTCCAAACACTGTCCATAGCTGAAGTTGACTGATAGCAAATTAATAATCCAACCTCTTGTAATGAAAACACACCACAGCTCTCAAACACCAGACTCTTCCTAACCAGGAACAATCAAAAATAGTCCAGACTATGGTCCCACGTCGAAAAGAACTTTAAATCCATATTCAAACTGGACCATGATGTGGTGTTCTCACCAATAAAGAGTCCTTCTAAAATTAATACAAATACATGGTCTTAAACTCTTAGCTTCAATCCAAACATAGCCCATACATACATGTAACATCTCTGCAAAAATCATCCACAATGAACACTTAAAAAAAAAAAAAAAAACACACAACTCCTTACATTAGACTGGGCTTGAAATGACACATTTCCCAAGCAGGACACAGCACAATGTGCTCAGCAGGTGAGCCATAAGTAACTCCCTCTTCTTCTTCTTCTTCTTCTTCCGTTTTTTGGCGTGTTACATCCTGTGTGCATATCGCCACCTACTTTTGCTGTTATGCAGTCATGGTTTATTTATCAATTTATTCCTTGTTTTTGCTTTTCCTGTTCTTACACCCGTATATACACAAATATTCCTACTTAAATAATTATTCGATGCTCCATCCCATTCCTTCTCCCCAGGCTCCACCTGGCGCTGCGTGTTCAGCTCCTCCAGACTAAATCCGTGGTCCCTACAGATCCAGAATAGAATAGAGCATCGGCATTCTATATTTTAAATCCTTTCACTTAACCCAGAAGTATATATGTATTTTATTAATATCATGTATCCTTCTCTATCTCTGTTAAACTCATATCCTAATAAGTATTCCAAATCCTTATTTACCTTACCTTTCTTGTTTAAATATGATATTAATTCCTTTCTTTCTTCATCATACCTTGTACAATTATATATTACATGCTCCACTGTTTCTTTCTCCCCACAATTCCCACACAGCCCAGTCTCATGTATTCCAGTTATGAACAGTGAAGCGTTCAATCCCGAGTGTCCAAGTCTCATCCTGGTTATAATAACCTCTTCTTTTCTATTTCTACCACTTACACTTCTTTTAGTATTAACCATTTTTTTAATATTATATAAATGCCTTCCCTTATTACCTGTATTCCATATACCCTGCCATTCTTTAATAATATTTTCCTTAATGATAGTTTTAATTTCACATTTACTTAAAGGAACATTAAAATCTATTACTTCTCTTCCTAAAGCATTTTTTGCTAATTCATCAGCAGATTCATTACCAGTTATTCCCACATGTGCTGGCACCCAGCAGAATCCAACTACCACACCTTTTCTTTGTATACGCCATAATAATGTAAATATTTCACACAACAAATCTTCTCTAGAAGATTGCCGAGTAATCAATGATGTTAAAACAGAAGCAGAGTCAGAGCATACCACTACTCTGTCTGGTCTTACTTCCTCTACCCATGTTAGTCCTATTATGATAGCAACCATTTCAACAGTATATATTGACAATTTAGATGTTAATCTTTTAGTTATGGATATTTTAAAATCTGGAATATATATTCCTACTCCTGTAAGCCCTGTTTTGGGGTCTTTAGATCCATCAGTATAAATGTGCATACTTGCATAAAATATTTCCTGAATATACTTATTTACATTATATTTAATACTACCCATTTCCTCCCATTCTCTTTTCTTATCCAATATCTCTAGATCAATTTTAACATCAGGAATTATCCATGTTGGCACCTCTCCCCATACAGGTGACACACTACATTCTATATTTGTTATCTGATATTTCTCTGCTAACTGATTTATATTCCATCCATATCCTCTCCCTTTGTTATTTGAGTATTCCCAGCAATTATTTAAAATATCTTTAGCTATATGTTTTCCAGAATAACTCTTTAAAGACAACCAATATACCAAAGACAATTGAACTCTCCTCAAGCTCAATGGCATTTCATTTGCCTCTACTAATAACGCATTGATTGGTGTTGTTTTAGTTGCTCCTAAGCATATTCTAAGAGCTCTATACTGTATCCTATCTAGACTCCTTAATAATGTTTCTGATGCTGAACAATAAATCATGCATCCGTAATCTATTATAGATCTTATCAAAGCTTGATATATTGTTAACATTGATTCTTTTTCAGCACCCCATTCTTTTCCAGCTATTGCCCTCATCACATTTAAAATCCTCCTGCATTTTTTATCTATTTCCTCAACATGCTTTTTCCAGGTATATCTCGCATCTAACCAAATTCCTAGATACTTAAAAACCTTTACTTGCTCTAAAGGTTTTCCATACAATAGTAGTTCAATATCTTTAGAAACTTCTTTTTTCCTACTGACCACCATATAACATGATTTATTTGTTGACATTTTAAAACTCCATTCTATACTCCATTTTTCCACCTTTTTAATAGCTGTTTGCATACTTGAAATCACTTGGGATACATTTCGACCTCTCTTCCAAATAGCACCATCATCAGCATATAACGCACATCCCACACCATATCCTAAATTGTCAAAAATATCATTAATCATAATGTTAAAAAGAATTGGACTTATTACACTCCCTTGTGGAATACCATTTTCTGCCTTAAAAACTGATGACTGGCACGCTCCTACTTGTACTAAAAATGTTCGTTCAAATAAAAACTGAGATAACCAATTATACATTTTACCATCTATTCCTATCATTGCTGCTTTAATTAACAACCCTTCTCTCCATATTGTGTCGTATGCTTTTTCTATATCAAAATATACTACTACCATAATTTCTTTCATTTTTATTGCCTTCTCTATTTCGTTACTGACTTTTATTAATGCATCCATAGTTGATCTTTTACCTCTAAAGATATTTACATATTTACATAATTTACCTTTCTTTTCTAACTCATAAGATCATCTGTGAACTATAATCTTTTCCATTAATTTTTGAAGTTAAGAAGTTAAAGCAATTGGTCGATAACTTCCTGGGTTTGTTGGATTTTTAGTAACTCCCTCTACCCACATGGCTTTACTTAAGGAAACCTAAAACACCCTAGCACCCCTAGTGGTAAGGAATTCTTATTTATAGGCTCGTGTCTGTTACACCTCAAATATGGCTTGCGAGATCCACTTTCCTGCAGAGCTTAGCTCCAACTTTGATCAAACTCACCCAACTGTGATTTTCTAATGATCATGAAGACATTGATTAGCATGCTCAGGTGTGTCTGATTCAGGTTAGAACTAAACTCTGCAGGAAAGTGGATCTCGTGAGCCAGATTTGAGGATCACTGGCCTGTATGAAACAACAGATTCTGAAAAGGCCTCTTTTGGTTTGTGCCATTCCCCTTCAATTGAGTGGCTAAAGAATGGCCAGTCAATGTTGTTTGTATTCTCCTAGTTGAATTACAGGGCTGCCTACACAAAACCTGCATGGGCCCAAAGGATACAAAAGTTGCTCTGGGCCTAAACGGGCTGGCCCACACTGGGCCATCATAGGATTAATGTGGACAGTCCGCTAGTGTGGCCTGCTCACAGAGAGCCTGTGGTGAGCCCAAAGCTGTGGGCCTCACCTGGGCAAGCCCAGTCTGGGCCTGTTTAGGTTTGGTGTGGGCTGGCCCTAGCCCACTGTGTCCACAAAAAGCCAGCATGGGCCCCGCAGGGATGTGTTTGCAGGGATGTAAATTGCATGCAAATTTTAACGCTTTATAAGTTGCAAAATGAAAATGTATAACACAAATTGATTTGATATAGGTAACATGTCCAAGCAGAAATGGTAGCAAAATGATCATTTAAATGCTATTTGTTAGAACACTTAGGATTGCATTTTCATCACGACGCCGTGGGATATTTGTAGCAAAATTCAGTGCGGCTTTGAAAATGCATTCCGAGCTGACCACGCCCACCCTCCGTCAATCATTGCTTCAAGGCGGGGATTGGCAGAAGTGTGTTCCGTTTGGATCGTTCGAAACATGGTGGCTGGAGATCTGATAAGATCATTGAATTCACTGGCAGATGAAGTGGAGCGTGAACAGAGAAATATATGAAGCGTACTCCATGCTAAAATCAAACATTCGAATGACCGACCGACCGATCGAACATCAAATCTACATTCAATCTCCTTGGGGCATGTCGTAAGGTTGTCTATGATTGGTTGGGGGATTATTATTCTTGTCTTTGCAAGAACTGTTCATGTTAACTCCGCAAGGCTGAGTTTTTTCTTCGCTGTTCCCACAGCGTTGTTCTATACAGTCCCCAAAAGTGTCAGCTTCTGACGCCATGTCGAGTGACCGTCCTTGAGAGGGAACATCTCTGGTTACTGTCGTAAACCTCGGTTCCCTGAGAGACGGGAACGAGACATGGCGTAGGCTGCCGTGTTCACTGCTCAGGTCTGCTGTGCTGTTGGTTTAGTCGGAAGATTCTGAGCTTATGCCGCCAAGATGGCGCATTATATAGCGGCAAGGGCCCCGCCCCTATTCGCCGTCTTGGCTGGCATTGGCCAGTGAGAGTTGCAACTTCACTGGTGTTGTGCAATAAGATTTCAGATAGATTTAGGAAGGAAAGGAGTCCCCAAAAGTGTTAGCAGGGAAGGCACAGCTTCCCCAAAATTTTGAGGTGAAAATGGGAGGAGGACGATTTAATGTTAATAAAATTCACAATTCATTTCAGTTCATGTCTCAGAATGTGTATTTTTTGTTTGTAAATTCACAGCTGTAATAACATACCATACCATGTTAATGAAGCTGGAAAGCGCAGCTTTTCTATCGCAAATGTGCCGAATCTGCTGATGTAATTACAACTGCTAGGTGATAGAGAAGGGGAGGGGGAGGCCGGGGAGTGCCTCTGTTGGTAAAAAAAAAAAAAGAGCCAATCAGCATTGAGTGTTCATTTTACAATAGCTGAAAAGTATTTAAAGTGAAACAGATGTATTGTTGTAGATTAATAGTGCGGGCCCTGTGTGGGCATAGTGAGGGCTTCCTGGGGGCTAAGGAATCTCTGATCTGAACTTCACAAACTGTGACTGCCACAAACTTTTACAAACTGAGAAAGTCTCTCAGTTTGTAAAAGAAGAAAAAGAGAAAAAAAATCCTTCCGCTATACTTCTATACTCTACTTTTCCTTAATTTTTCCCCATTCTAATATCTAAAATTTTGTAGGCTACTAGCTATTCTCGTGTTTATTGCCTCTATGATGAATCTGCCAAATGAATAAATGTAAATGTTTACAGTATTACACTTACTATACAGGCCTAAGTATATAGCTGTAGAAGTGAGCAGCTCGTATTGCTGACTTCACAGACACAGTATTACATACAGACACCAGTATTTTGCTGAAATCTCTTCTGCTTTCGGCTTCTGTCAGTATTTTGGGCAAGAAAACATGCTTGCTGACTATTTAGTCCTCAATGTCCCACATTCCTTATTTGAAGTACACCGTAAAACAGAATTCAGAACATGAGAAGTGTTACCGTAATACAATGTTGACATGTAATATCTCAAATCTGAAATACAAAAGTCGAGAAGAAATAAAATGCATGTTTCCTGTACATAGTGTTCTCGAATTGCAGTTTTAATACAATTCAACGTATTCCTGAGCATTGAGAATTATTATCAACATGAGCACTGAACACTGGATCTCACAAGACAGTGATTTGTTTCAAGCAAATATAAAGAAATGTGTTGAATATTCAGAAAGCTTCATACTAATTTGCATAGATTTCTCAGTCAGGCTACTGTCACTAAAGTTCTGACTAAAGGAGAAGTGGTGAATCTCTAATACGAGTTAAACTGTGCCATTTTCACACACAGTTCTCCCTTCATTCAGAATTTCTGTCATCTTCAACTCTCTTCTCTGGTAAGTCATTTACACACAACACAGAAAAACTTACACTTACTCCTGTAGGTTTGAGATTTTGAAATGCTAAAGGTTTGAAACATGTTCAAGATAAGCGTGTCCTGTTTTTCTTTTTTCAAATCTTTACTATTGTCAGAGATGGGTAATAACTGAACTGGATTACATAATCAGATTCTAAAATTCAAGTACTCGTGATTAGAGTATATTACATTTTATAATGCTCATAATCAGATTACAGTTACTTTTTTATGGATTACATGATGATTACATATTCACACAAGGGCAGTAAATCCTTCATAATTTATTGATTCTCCCTAATTCTTTTTTATTTTATTTTAAATTTTCCTTTCTAAAAATCCCACTTTGTGTAATGCCATTTAGCTTTGACTATATTCACAAAATAGAATGGCTGTGTAAATGTCATGTAAATAAATTTGTAAACCATGCATCTGGATTTGGGTAAAAAAGAAAACACTCCTCACGCACTATGTTAAACTCTATGTGCTCATCATATCCAGCAATCTTCAGTAACTGTTGATTCTGGAAGTCTGGACTAAAATTTTGAAACCTGAAAGACTTTTGGGTGGGTAATGTCATTGCTGTTTTCATGTTTGTTCATGTAATGCAGGGATTCCCAAATGTTTTTGTCAACCAAACATGAAAACATTTGACATTACATATTTATGTGAAATATCGCTGAAAAAGTTTCAATCATTTAACAACACATTCGCATGTTCACAGTTTGATGTGGCTTAATGGTCATATTAACATTCAGTTAAACTAATTAAATATTTCTATTTTTAGTGTTCAAGTGTTTAAATAATTTATTTTACATTTTTATGATTTATTTAATTACTAACTTTTTATCACCTCGCAAACCCTTAATGTAAAGTTCTTACATTAAACCCAGTTTGGGAAACCCTGGATTTATGTAACGTTTAATGAATTTAATGATGTTAATAATAAAAAAAAAAGGAATATATTTTCTTTCTCTTTGCATTTTATATCATTATGATACATTTTATGGTAGGTTTAAAACAAGTTAGATAAAAGTAATCTAAAAAGTAGTCTGAATACATTACATTAAATGAGTAACCTAGATTACGTTACTAAATGCAGTTTTTAACATGTAATATGTAATCAGCAATCAGTAATGGACTACAAATGGTAAGTAATCTACTCAGCTCTGAATATTGTTCTGTGTTTTGATGTAAAAATTACTGTAGGACTTTAGAAATAATGAGTTTATACCAACATATGAGCTATAAATTCATACAAAAAGGAAATCATTTATTACTTATTAGGGCTGTCAAATCGATTAATCGTGATTAATCACATCCAAATTAAAAGTCTGTTTACATATATGTGTGTGTACTGGATATATTTATATATACACATGTATATATAAATACACAACATACAGTTAGGTCCATATATATTTGGACACAGGCACAATTTGTATTATTTTAGCTGCTGACCAAAACATTTTCAAGTTACAGTTATATAATGAATATGGGCTTAAAGTGCACACAGCTTTAATTTGAGGGTATTTTCATCAAAATTAGAGGGAAGGTTAAGGAATTACAGCTCTTTTATATGTACCTCCCCCCTTTTTCAAGGGACCATAAGTAAATGGACAACTGACTCATAAGCTGTTTCATGGACAGGCGTGGGCTATTCTTTCGTTATTTCTACATCAATTAAGCAGGTAAAAGGTCTGGAGTTGATTCCAAGTGTGACATTTGCATTTGGAAGCTGTTGCTGTGAACCACATCATGCAGTCAAAGATTCTCTCCATACAAGTGAAACAGATGACTGTTAGGCTTCAAAAACAAAACTAACCTATCAGAGAGATAGCAGGAACATTAGGAGTGGCCAAATCAAGTTTGGTACATTCTGAGAAAAAAAAAAAAAAAAAAAAGGCACTAGTGAGCTCAGCATCATAAAAAGGCCTGGGCGTTCACACAAGACAACAGTGGTGGATGATCAGAGGATCCTCTCCATGGTAAAGAAAAACTCTTTCACAACATCCAGCCAAGAGAAGAACACTTTCCAGGAGGTAGACATGTCACTGTCAAAGTCTACAATCAAGAGAAGACTTCACCAGAGCAAATACAGAGGCTTCACCACAAGGTGCAAACAAGGCCTGATTAGACTTTGCCAAAAAAAACATCTAAAAAAGCCAGAGCACTTCTGTAAAAGCATTCTTTGGACGGCTGAAATTAAGATCAAACTGTATCAGAATGACAGGATGAAAAAAGTATGGAGAAGGCTTGGAACAGCTCATGACCCAAAGCACACAACATCATCAGTGAAACATGGAGCAGTGTTATGCATGAGCGTGCATGGCTTCAGTGGCTCTGGGTTACTGGTGTTTAGTGATGATGAGACAAGACAGAAGCAGCCGGATGAATTCTGAAGTTTACAGGGATATACTGTCTGCCCAGATTCAGTCAAATGGAGCAAAGTAGATTGGGCGGCACTTCATAGTACAAACGGATGATGACCCAAATCAGTCTCCTGATCTCAACCTGATTGAGAATGCATTTCACTTGCTGAAGACAAAACTAAAGGCAGAAAGACCCACAAACAAACAACAACTGAAGTCAGCTGCAGTAAAGGCCTGGTAAAGATAATGTCCATGAGTTCCTGCAAAATTATTATCAACAAAATATTAAAAATGAACATTTGATTTATGATTATATTTTTTTGTCCAATTACATTTGAGCCCTCGAAAATGGGGGGACTGTGTATGAAAATGGTTGTAATTCCTAAGCATTTTATGTAATAAAGCAGCCGGATGAATTCTGAAGTTTACAGGGATATACTGTCTGCCCAGATTCAGTCAAATGGAGCAAAGTAGATTGGGCGGCACTTCATAGTACAAACGGATGATGACCCAAATCAGTCTCCTGATCTCAACCTGATTGAGAATGCATTTCACTTGCTGAAGACAAAACTAAAGGCAGAAAGACCCACAAACAAACAACAATTGAAGTCAGCTGCAGTAAAGGCCTGGTAAAGATAATGTCCATGAGTTCCTGCAAAATTATTATCAACAAAATATTAAAAATGAACATTTGATTTGATTATATTTTTTTGTCCAATTACATTTGAGCCCTCGAAAATGGGGGGACTGTGTATGAAAATGGTTGTAATTCCTAAGCATTATATGTTATATTTTTTGCTTAAATACATATAAACATTTAAACTAAAGCTTAAAGTCTGCACTTCAATTTCATCTTGATTGTTTTATTTTCAATATTTTTCTGGTGGCATACAGAGCCGAAATTATGAAAATTGTGTTAGTGTCCAAATATATATGGACCTAACTGTGTATATATATATATATATTCATATGTATGTATTTTGTAAAATGCAGTGAAATCAAGAATCTGTGATTTGTTAATTCCCTTTAACTTTTAATTGACAAAAGTACAAAGAAACTTTCAATTTCACCATAAATGGTCAATTTCACCGTTTGTACTTTACAATGTTTTCACTGAAAGTTCCAATGTTTTCACTGACCAGCTTAAATGTATTTTGTAAATATAAACAAGAAAAAAGTATGGAGAAGGCTTGGAACAGCTCATGACCCAAAGCACACAACATCATCAGTGAAACATGGAGCAGTGTTATGCATGAGCGTGCATGGCTTCAGTGGCTCTGGGTTACTGGTGTTTAGTGATGATGAGACAAGACAGAAGCAGCCGGATGAATTCTGAAGTTTACAGGGATATACTGTCTGCCCAGATTCAGTCAAATGGAGCAAAGTAGATTGGGCGGCACTTCATAGTACAAACGGATGATGACCCAAATCAGTCTCCTGATCTCAACCTGATTGAGAATGCATTTCACTTGCTGAAGACAAAACTAAAGGCAGAAAGACCCACAAACAAACAACAACTGAAGTCAGCTGCAGTAAAGGCCTGGTAAAGATAATGTCCATGAGTTCCTGCAAAATTATTATCAACAAAATATTAAAAATGAACATTTGATTTATGATTATATTTTTTTGTCCAATTACATTTGAGCCCTCGAAAATGGGGGGACTGTGTATGAAAATGGTTGTAATTCCTAAGCATTTTATGTAATATTTTTGCTTAAATACATATAAACATTTAAACTAAAGCTTAAAGTCTGCACTTCAATTTCATCTTGATTGTTTTATTTTCAATATTTTTCTGGTGGCATACAGAGCCGAAATTATGAAAATTGTGTTAGTGTCCAAATATATATGGACCTAACTGTGTATATATATATATATATTCATATGTATGTATTTTGTAAAATGCAGTGAAATCAAGAATCTGTGATTTGTTAATTCCCTTTAACTTTTAATTGACAAAAGTACAAAGAAACTTTCAATTTCACCATAAATGGTCAATTTCACCGTTTGTACTTTACAATGTTTTCACTGAAAGTTCCAATGTTTTCACTGACCAGCTTAAATGTATTTTGTAAATATAAACAAATTTTGATGTTGATGGCTGCAACCCACTCCAAAAAATTTGGGACAGAGGCAAAATAAAAGTGAAATGGTTATAGAATACCCAAGTTGAACTGTTTTGAATGCAGGTGAATTGGTAAGGTGAGGGGGATCATGTTTGGATAAAAAAAAGAGCATCTCAGTCTACCATTGGCATGGAGGCATATACTGGGATTGTACAGAGACATATACTGGCATCAAGATGACGTCTTTCATGGGAAGTTCATAGTTATTAGATCAAGGCAATGCCAGGTCTCATTCTGCATGTGCTACAACAGCGTGATTTTGTAGACACATTTCTATTGAAAATGTATGGCCCATCATGAAAAAGAGAATCAGACAATAACGACTATGGGCTGATGAGCAGCTGAAGTCTTGTATCGAGTGAGACAAAACTTTAACAATTAGTATCCTCAATTCTCAAATGATTAAGCATTGTAATTAAAAGGACAGTTGAAGTGACAGTGTTAATCATGCCTCTGTCCCAACTATTTTAGAATGTGTTGCAGCCATCAAAATCTAAATTTGTTTATAATTACAAAACAAAATGATGTTGTCCAGTGAAAACATTGGAAATCTATTCTCTGTACTTTTGTCAATTAAGTAAAGTTTAAAAAGAATGAACAAATCACATATTCTTGATTTTTATTGCATGTTACAAAATGTCCCAACTTTTTTGGAACTGGGATTGTAACATGTATGTGTGTATTTATATATACAGTAGATATATATAATACACAAACAAATATTATATAAACAAGCTTTTATTTTGGTTGTGATTAATCGCGATGAATCAACCCGGCAGCCCTTTATACATACACAATTTATTTATTTATTCATTTGTTTGTATATTCTGCTGTAAGGTGGAGTGCATGTAAATGATGGAAACATTGGTGACGTTCCTCCTCACTGGATCTCTGATACAAGGTCTCATTCTTATGGATTATTCCTCTTTTTAACAAGCTGAATTATTATTATGAAAGCACTTACATGAGATTGAAGAGCAATAAGTGCTGCAGAAGTTTGTTCTGAATATCGACTTTGTATGATTACTTCTTTTGTCTGTTTGTGTTCATTTTAGGTGTTTTTTGTGGCTTCAGTATCAATCTGCCGCTGAGAGTAGAAGCTCTACATGGATCCTGTGTTTTCATACCCTGCACATTTGACATCGATCAACAGTTTAACGGTTACCTCACTGATCGTGCAAAGAGAATATGGTTTAAGGGTGTAACACCAGTGTTTGTCTCCAGCAGCCCCAACACTGGACTGTTAAAAGGAGAAATATTTGGCACTGCTACACAGAAAAACTGCACCACACGCTTCGATAATGTCAGTCAGAGTCATAATGGGTCATATTACTTCAGACTTGAAGATGATAAAGTGCGGTATAACTACAGAGAACCTACACACTCCCAAGTTCAAATTGCCGTCTTAGGTGAGTGTTATATTGATCATGCTGCTTCTAGAGTGTGACTCGACACAAATTAAAAAGAAATCTACTACTGAACAATATGTACCTTCATTTTTGGATATAATAATCCATATGATCTTGTAATATCTCTATGTGTGTTTCAGGATCTCCACCCAAACCCACACTGAGGGTCTTTAAGGATCAGCAGGAGGTGATGAAGATGGTGGAGGTGATGGAGGGAAGTTCAGTGAGTCTGCGCTGCTCTACTAAGATCTTCTGTCCGTCTCGTCCACCATCTCTCAGATGGAGCTCATCTCTCAATGAGAACGTCACAGAACAGCAGTATCAGAACCAAACTGAGCTCATCTCTGATCTGAACTTCACTGTTTCTCACCGTCATCATAGAGTCACTTTCACCTGCACTGCAACACACCAGCTACAGCAGCCGAGCACAACACAAGAGTCCCGGATGCTACTAGTTCAGTGTAAGACAGGAATTGAATCAATCTATGCTCAATGATCAACTATAATATTATAAAGTAATTGCCTGAATGATTTTCTCCTCCATCAGATGCTCCTAAAAACACATCGGTGAGGATAAATCCAGCTGGTTTAGTTCTAGAGGGTGGTTCAGTGACTCTGAGCTGCAGCAGTGATGCAAACCCAGCAGTGAACTACACCTGGTACAGAGACATTGAAAGACCTCTGAATCCAGTTCAGACCGGACCAAACCTGACCATCAATAATACAGACTCGACACACAGTGGACAATACTACTGTAGAGCTGAGAACACACACGGCACTCAGAGGACATCAGCGCTTCTGGACGTCCAGTGTGAGCATTAAGAGTCTTTACTGATACAAATATTCCAAATATTTAAGGTCACTCATTTTGCACAGTGTAGCATTACCAACCTTTATACTGTATATAGTAGATGTAAAATATGACTATGTATTGTGCCTGGCTACATTTTTTAGTTTGTTCTACCAGATGCTCCTAAAAACACATCGGTGAGGATAAATCCAGCTGGTTTAGTTCTAGAGGGCCGTTCAGTGACTCTGAGCTGCAGCAGTGATGCAAACCCAGCAGTGAACTACACCTGGTACAGAGACACTGAAAGACCTCTGAATCTAGTTCAGACCGGACCAAACCTGACCATCAACAACACCGATCCGACAGACAGCGGAAGATACTACTGTAGAGCGGAGAACAAACACGGCACACAGAAGACATCAGCGCTTCTGGACATCCAGTGTGAGTATTACGAGGCTTTAATAATTTATTCACAATCATTAATATATTAGACTTGAGATTTTAGACTTTATAAATGAAACACGAAATACAATAAATATATGTAATATTATATATAATTAAAACAGCAATAAGTGGGCAGCATACATGTGAACTCCTTCATTATTATTGGAAAAGCATGCTTTTTTCACTAAATGTTTCCCATACTTCCATTAGTTTTATTTTATTTACATTTATTTAAAAAAATTTATAAAATAATAATACCATATATATTGCGGGCTAAATCATTTTGTCTTTCATCAGATGCTCCTAAAAACACATCCGCACATGTAAATCCAGCTGGTTTAGTTCTAGAGGGTGGTTCAGTGACTCTGAGCTGCAGCAGTGATGCAAACCCAGCAGTGAACTACACCTGGTACAGAGACACGGAAAGACCTCTGAATCTAGTTCAGACCGGACCAAACCTGACCATCAATAATACAGACTCGACACACAGTGGACAATACTACTGTAGAGCTGAGAACACACACGGCACTCAGAACACATCAGTGCTGCTGGACGTCCAGTGTGAGTATTAAAAGTCGTAACTATGTATTTCCCATACTTCCATTAGTGTTATTTTATAGTTGCTGTCTTTACTACTAGTTTAAAAATCTGCAACATTCAGTGTGAGCACTTGTAAATCTGCCAAACGTCCAGATTGGATGCCCAGTGCAAGTACTTGGTAATCTGCTGAGCATCCTGTACGAGTATGTGGTAATATGTTAGACATAAAGTGTGTATGCTTTGTAATCTTCTAGACGTCCAGTGCGAGAACTTCTTAATCTGCTGAGAGTTCAGTGTGAGTATTTGGTAATCTTCTGGATGTCTAGTGGAAGTACTTGGTAATTGTCACGTATTCGGTCTGTGGTCTTCCGTCTGCTCTCCACCAGAGGTTGCCTTCTGATTACATTGACTCTCACACCACACAAACTGTTGCACATCACCCTGGACTACATTTCCCATGCTCCATTGCACTGATTGGACTCACCTGCAGCCAATCACACAAACACTATATAACAACCACTCAAATCCTTCTCTAATGGCCGAGTATTGTCTGCGTTTATCCCTCTCCTAGTGGTAGCACTTTACGGAGCCAGTAGCCTGTCTGAGTTTAGTCTAGTTCCTAGATCTAGTCCTAGTCCTGTTTCGTAATGTCTAGTTTTGCCTGATTGTTTGTTCCTGATAACCTGCCTGTCTTCGATTTCTCTCTCGTCTTGTTGTTTGGATTCTGTTCGCACCTCGCCTGGATGAATATCTGTCTGTGGATTTCTCGCCTGCGTTCAGTGACTCTGAGCTGCAGCAGTGATGCAAACCCAGCAGTGAACTACACCTGGTACAGAGACACTGAAAGACCTCTGAATCTAGTTCAGACCGGACCAAACCTGACCATCAACAACACCGATCCGACAGACAGCGGAAGATACTACTGTAGAGCGGAGAACAAACACGGCACACAGAAGACATCAGCGCTTCTGGACATCCAGTGTGAGTATTACGAGGCTTTAATAATTTATTCACAATCATTAATATATTAGACTTGAGATTTTAGACTTTATAAATGAAACACGAAATACAATAAATATATGTAATATTATATATAATTAAAACAGCAATAAGTGGGCAGCATACATGTGAACTCCTTCATTATTATTGGAAAAGCATGCTTTTTTCACTAAATGTTTCCCATACTTCCATTAGTTTTATTTTATTTACATTTATTTAAAAAAATTTATAAAATAATAATACCATATATATTGCGGGCTAAATCATTTTGTCTTTCATCAGATGCTCCTAAAAACACATCCGCACATGTAAATCCAGCTGGTTTAGTTCTAGAGGGTGGTTCAGTGACTCTGAGCTGCAGCAGTGATGCAAACCCAGCAGTGAACTACACCTGGTACAGAGACATTGAAAGACCTCTGAATCCAGTTCAGACCGGACCAAACCTGACCATCAATAATACAGACTCGACACACAGTGGACAATACTACTGTAGAGCTGAGAACACACACGGCACTCAGAACACATCAGTGCTGCTGGACGTCCAGTGTGAGTATTAAAAGTCGTAACTATGTATTTCCCATACTTCCATTAGTGTTATTTTATAGTTGCTGTCTTTACTACTAGTTTAAAAATCTGCAACATTCAGTGTGAGCACTTGTAAATCTGCCAAACGTCCAGATTGGATGCCCAGTGCAAGTACTTGGTAATCTGCTGAGCATCCTGTACGAGTATGTGGTAATATGTTAGACATAAAGTGTGTATGCTTTGTAATCTTCTAGACGTCCAGTGCGAGAACTTCTTAATCTGCTGAGAGTTCAGTGTGAGTATTTGGTAATCTTCTGGATGTCTAGTGGAAGTACTTGGTAATTGTCACGTATTCGGTCTGTGGTCTTCCGTCTGCTCTCCACCAGAGGTTGCCTTCTGATTACATTGACTCTCACACCACACAAACTGTTGCACATCACCCTGGACTACATTTCCCATGCTCCATTGCACTGATTGGACTCACCTGCAGCCAATCACACAAACACTATATAACAACCACTCAAATCCTTCTCTAATGGCCGAGTATTGTCTGCGTTTATCCCTCTCCTAGTGGTAGCACTTTACGGAGCCAGTAGCCTGTCTGAGTTTAGTCTAGTTCCTAGATCTAGTCCTAGTCCTGTTTCGTAATGTCTAGTTTTGCCTGATTGTTTGTTCCTGATAACCTGCCTGTCTTCGATTTCTCTCTCGTCTTGTTGTTTGGATTCTGTTCGCACCTCGCCTGGATGAATATCTGTCTGTGGATTTCTCGCCTGCCTCATCCTTTGGATTATGTTCGCCGTTGATCGACCTACGCCTGTTTATTGGATCACTCTTCTGTCTTGTCCTCTAAATACCTGTTTGCCATTGTACGACCCTTGCCTGTTTTGAATATGTTTAAGAATAAAACTTTGCAGATGGATCCGCACGTCTCTCGTCTCAGTCGCCCCATTGCAGTAATATACTGAGAGACCAGTTTGAATAGTTGGTAATCTTCTGTACGTCTAGTGTGAATACTTGGTAACTTGCTTGGTGTCTAGTGCGAGAATTTGGTAATCTACTGAGACTCCAGTTTGAATACTTGGTAATCTGCTGTACGTCTAGTTCGAATACTTCGTAATCTTTGTAATCAAAAACTGCCTTTTTTAATTATTTTGTACTGTTCTCGGAGGTCCCCTTATATCGTTATCAAGAATTTTACATAAAAAAAATCATAATTTAGAAGTAATAGGCTATTTCAGAAGATCATATCAGATCAGAATGAGCTTTATTGCCAGGTATGCTGCAAACTTCAGAAGCTTGACAGAGGGGTCTTTAGATGTGCAGTCTTTGGTGTGGACTTTTTTTCTGTCCTGTTTTTGACCCCCCTCTGTTTGAATAGGTGTGGCAGATTGTAGACTCGGAAGTAAACGCCCACTGCTATGATTGGCTAATAGTTGTGCATGTTTAACAGCCTACATCCTTCACAGATGGATGTTGCAGTGATTTAGATTTAAAACGCATAAATACTCATATCAAACTATTTGTAATAAAGCAATAGTGACCACATATTAAAAGCTTACTCACACTTGTGTGATCGTGCATCGAATTGAGCCTTGTTTGTAAATGAATCCACTGTAAAATAAAGTGAACAAAGGATGAAGTTCTTGCTGATGCTGTCTTGATCTTCATTAAAATTAAAGTGAATCCACTCTTTCCCTATGTTGAGATCAGAAGGCAATGCAAAGACTTTTTCCAAAACTTGGCACCGGACAGTGTCTTGTTGTCTCCAGAGCCATCTTTATCGTTTGGTTTCTGCATAGACCTGCGTATGCCGCCCTCGTTATTTATACTATGTGTGAGAATCGGTGGGGAGGGTTAAACAGGCAGTGCTGTAGAAGCAGGCGTTGATCTTCTGCAGAGGCGGTGTTTAGCCACACTATTACATCATAAAGTGGCACATTTCACAACCTGTTGTTTTGGCAGATTGGATTCAATACAAGATGATTTTAGACTAACAAGTACGTTTTGAGTTCCGAAACTTACAGAATGTTTTTATACGACTTCTTATATGTCAAAAGAACAATGGAATTTTGATTTCTCATTTCATGACCCCTTTAAACCTTTACACACAGCTAGCATGAAGTAAACAGGTAATAGGTCAAATACAGACATGTGGTGTTTTGTTCTTCAACACGTTGCCTGCATCTGAAACTTTTTACAACGGTGAGGTTTAAACCTGCAGCCTTTCAAATCTTGAACTGTAAACCACACATTCTACATCACACATCTTTTTTCCCCCTCAGATGCCCCAAAAAACACATCATTGTCAGCGTTTCCTTCCAGCTCAGTGAGGGAGGGCAAACCAGTGACTCTGAGCTGCAGCACTGATGCAAACCCAGCAGAGCTCAACTACACCTGGTACAGAGAAACCGAATCTCAATTTGAGCTCCTCCAGACTGGATATAATCACACCTACATTGTGACAAACCCTACACAGGGCGCATGGTATGGCTGTAATGCTCAAAACCAGCATGGCCAATGCAACACAACAATTCAACTTGATGTTCAGTGTGAGTACAAAGTACAATAACTGCAGTAATTACAGCAAACACATAACTCTAGACGGCACTGCAATTGAATGCAAAGTGCATGGTTTATGGTGAAATTGAATGCAAATTGACATGAAAAAGTTGCAATTTTACTATAAAAGCATACAAGAAACACTTTCAAACAGTCAGAATATGACTTTCAACACTGAAAAGACTACTAAAGAGTTGTAAAACCCACAAAAGCATGTTTAAATTACTTAAACTTTACATGTAATTAAAGATGATGACAATTTTATTATATAAACTACACTACAGCATGCTATATGGTGTAATATCTTACATGGTGTGTGCATCACTGAGTATGGTGACAATGGTAAACTGGTTAAAGGTGATTGACTATACAGTCAGCTGTGCATCAAAGCCGTGAAATGGGCATTTACAGAAAATACATACGAGAAGACGGTAGGAGATTTGGAGAGTAAACACTCATGTTACAAAGCAACATGTAAAAATTATGCTACAGCATTTTGTAATGCAAGGTTTCAATAAAACCTTTGTGAAACTGCACTTAAACAAGTGAAACTACAAGAATCTGTCAGCAGCCCTTCTATAATGCCAATACAGTGATCAAACACTGGGGTACGAATCTAAATGATTAAATGATTAGACCGAAACTGTGTAGGATCTCAGAAGAATAAAACTGTTCAATATTCTGAGATCCTACACAGTTATCATCTACAATGTAAAAAAAGAAACAATCTGTGATGTTCATGGATAAAAAAAGGTCGCAGTTGCCAAAACTTTACAATAAAAATACAGTATAAACATTTGTCTTTTACACTGTAGAGACCATCGAGATCTTCTTTATCCTAACAATCATATTCTCTATTTCAGTTGCGCCCAACATCTCCAGCTCGTGTAGCCGAAACAGCGTAATGGCGTGTGTCTGTGAGGCTCATGGGAATCCCTGCCCTACACTAGAGTGGCGTCTGTCTGGACATGTGCTCGCTAACTCTACAGAACCCTCCATCAGTGAGGAGACGTTAGGAAGCACAGGAGTGAAGAGCATCCTGACCATCCATCAGTCCCTCACGGACACGGACATCCTGCAGTGTTTCAGCGCAAACATTTACGGCAGCGCAAGTCAACAGTTTCAGGCCATCCCACCGCCACAAAAGACAAGTGAGAAACACAAAACAACAGCTTTATCTGATTGACAAGATCACAAATGATATCTTTACCCTTGTGAAAAAGAAGTGTGATTAATTGTATTGAATGTCAATTTGTAGTGTACTTAATATATTAAAAGTATATTTTTAAAACACTACTTGCAAATAATGTATTATGTACATGTACATGTACACTTACATTACTATGTTTTAGAGACTTAAGTACACTTAAAATGTGCAGTTACATTTATAATGTCAATACTTGATTATAATTTTAACTGTAGTGTTACTCAATACATGGTTATTATAGGTTATAGGTTATTATATGTTATGTAACCCTCATTCCCTGAAGGAGGGAACAGAGACGTTACATCGGCACTGATGTTAGGGGTCTCAGTTGGGAGCCCCAATCACCTCTGACCATTACAAGAAACGGCCAATGACTATTGCCACATATAATTTGCTTGCCAAGCCACTCTCCATATATATACACGGGTATATAAGGTTTGTGCTGAGGAACTAAGAAAGCATCCTGGCATTCAGCACAGTTCAAGGTTGTGGCATGAGGGACATAACTTTTCCGTTACGAAATTGATGCTGCAGGTGCTGGCAAGCAAGCGTGCTAAGACAGATGCATCTGGATCCGTAACCCGCCCAATGCCCAGTACCAGATAGAAATCATAAAGTAAACATTGGGGGTGTAGAGTCACACACAGATAGGAATGTTAGAATTCATATGACTGATTCCAGCATAGACTAAAATACAGAAATGACCCCATTACCTCAGAGAGACATAAGACTTGACAGAGAGATCTGTCAAGAGAAAGATATGAGTTTACCAAATGGAAACCGTACTGTGGAAACTACATACAGGACACATTCCATGGGCACCTGGTCCGGTGCAAGGGGTAACAAAGGCATATAACACAAGTACCTTACAAAACATTTCAAACTTTAATTAATTTTTTATTTTGATGATTAGAGCTTACAGCTCATGAAAGTCAAAAATCCAGTATCTCAAAATATTAGAATATTTACATTTGTGTTTCATTAAATGACCATCCCTAAACTATACATTCCGGGTATCTCTTGTTCTTTGAAACCACAATAATGGGGAAGACTGCTGACTTGGCAATGGTCCAGAAGACAATCACTGACACCCCTCCACAAAGAGGGTAAGTCACAGAAGGGCATTACTGAAAGGGCTGGCTGTTCACAGAGTGCTGTATCAAAGCATATTAAATGCAAAGTTGACTGGAGGGAAGACATTGGGTAGGAAAAGGTGCACAAGCAACAGGGATGACCGCAAGCTTGAGATTACTGACAAGCAAAGCAGATTCAAACACTTGGGAGAGCCTCACAAGGAGTGGACTGAAGCTGGAGTCAGTGCATCAAGACTCACCACGCTCACTTCTGAAACAAAAACAATAAGAAGATAAAAGCGCACATATCCACCAACCAGAGGAATGGCACCTCAAGCAAGACCCCGAACCAGTCCTCCCGCAAATTACCTGCTCAAACCCAGCACACGGGAGGAAACTGGCTCAACCCGGAGATTATAGAATTTACGTTTATTCATTTAGCAGACACTTTTATCCAAAGCAACTTACAATTGAGGAATACAATAAGCGATTCATCATCTCTCTGGGGCAAGGGGCCTAGGTGTTACCTGCCCCAGAAAAAAAGCAGCCCCTTCCATCCCTGGGTCACCTGTCTCAGGGACGTTTTGCTGTCTTCTTAGAGGACTTAGTGATCAAATGGAGCCCGAACAGAGACTTTTGCCAAGACACTAAAGTCTGTAATCACACATCTAAGGTCTCAACATGAACGCAAACATTTCTCATTTTTGATTGATCTTAGGAAATATTCTAATATTTTGAGATACTAGATTTTTGACTTTCATGAGCTGTAAGCGCTAATCATCAAAATTAAAACAAAAAAAAATTGAAATGTTTTAATTTACATGTAACGAATCTAGAATATATGAATGTTTCAATTTTTGAAATACGTAAAAAATAAAAATAAAAAAAAACTTTCAGGATATTCCAGTTTTTTTGAGATGCACCGATATACTGGAAGAAGATAAAAGCGCACATATCCACCAACCAGAGGAATGGCACCTCAAGCAAGACCCCGAACCAGTCCTCCCGCAAATTACCTGCTCAAACCCAGCACACGGGAGGAAACTGGCTCAACCCGGAGATTATAGAATTTACATTTATTCATTTAGCAGACACTTTTATCCAAAGCAACTTACAATTGAGGAATACAATAAGCGATTCATCATCTCTCTGGGGCAAGGGGCCTAGGTGTTACCTGAACAGGTGTTTTTGCCCCAGAAAAAAAGCAGCCCCTTCCATCCCTGGGTCACCTGTCTCAGGGACGTTTTGCTGTCTTCTTAGAGGACTTAGTGATCAAATGGAGCCCGAACAGAGACTTTTGCCAAGACACTAAAGTCTGTAATCACACATCTAAGGTCTCAACATGAACTCAAACATTTCTCATATGCACATTAATTTTATAGCTCTGTATTTTCTACTAGGACAACTGTTTTGGGTCTATTTTTATTCCTCCTGAGAAACATCTAAAATAGTTTAATGGTTTTAATGAGATCTCCTGAACTATGAAAGACCAACCTCTGAGCAATAAAGCACTGCTTTCCAGGTTTCCATTATCCATCAGTGCTGCTCGGAGCTGCTGTCGGTGTGTTACTGATGATGATTGTGTGCATCGTGATGCTCTGCTGTGAACGGTGGGTACAAATGCCCTTTGAGGAATAAGAAAACGTGTTTATACTATATAAATATTCTATACATACACAGGTATAAAAAAACACTAGCTTTCTATTTTCTCTATTCTATCTACTTGTTTTTCTTTGTGTGTGTGTGTATATATTTATATACATACACAGCACACGGGAGGAAACTGGCTCAACCCGGAGATTATAGAATTTACATTTATTCATTTAGCAGACACTTTTATCCAAAGCAACTTACAATTGAGGAATACAATAAGCGATTCATCATCTCTCTGGGGCAAGGGGCCTAGGTGTTACCTGAACAGGTGTTTTTGCCCCAGAAAAAAAGCAGCCCCTTCCATCCCTGGGTCACCTGTCTCAGGGACGTTTTGCTGTCTTCTTAGAGGACTTAGTGATCAAATGGAGCCCGAACAGAGACTTTTGCCAAGACACTAAAGTCTGTAATCACACATCTAAGGTCTCAACATGAACTCAAACATTTCCATTAGGCTAACCGAGACTTGTCATTTGCACTTACATATTGTTGCTCTTTTGTTAATTTTGATTGCTTCTATTGTCCTCATTTGGAAGTCGCTTTGGATAAAAACGTCTGCTAAATGACTAAATGTTATATATACACATATACACACACGATACATGTTTTACTTATGTTACACAGATTCCTTTTCAGCTATTATGGTAAATGTTTTCAAAAGTATACAGCTTCAAGCAGGGTTATTATATTAAAAACTAAAACAATAAAAGAAAAAAAAACTTTGTTAGTTGAAATAAAAGATTGACTGAAATAAAACACTAGGACAACTGTTTTGGGTCTATTTTTATTCCTCCTGAGAAACATCTAAAATAGTTTAATGGTTTTAATGAGATCTCCTGAACTATGAAAGACCAACCTCTGAGCAATAAAGCACTGCTTTCCAGGTTTCCATTATCCATCAGTGCTGCTCGGAGCTGCTGTCGGGGTGTTACTGATGATGATTGTGTGCATCGTGATGCTCTGCTGTGAACGGTGGGTACAAATGCCCTTTGAGGAATAAGAAAACGTGTTTATACTATATAAATATTCTATACATACACAGGTGTAAAAAAACACTAGCTTTCTATTTTCTCAATTTTTTCTATTCTATCTATTTGTTTTTCTTTGTGTGTGTGTGTATATATATTTATATACATACATAAAACCTTGCTATGTGTACTGCGTTAGGCTAACCGAGACTTGTCATTTGCACTTACATATTGTTGCTCTTTTGTTAATTTTGATTGCTTCTATTGTCCTCATTTGTAAGTCGCTTTGGATAAAAACGTCTGCTAAATGACTAAATGTTATATATATACACACACACGATACGTTTTACTTATGTTACACAGATTCCTTTTCAGCTATTATGGTACATGTTTTCAAAAGTATACAGCTTCAAGCAGGGTTATTATATTAAAAACTAAAAAAATAAAAGAAAAAAACTTTGTTAGTTGAAATAAAAGATTGACTGAAATAAAACACATAAATGAATTAATAAATAATAAAGTACCTAAAATTAAAATAAACCAAAATTTATTTTTAAAAATGAAAAAAAAAAAAGAAACTTTAACTGAAAGTAAAGCAAAAACAGAAACGATAAAATTTTAAGTTTTTGTAATTGTGTGCTATTGTAATTTGTTTTCTTTTTAATATGTCTATATAGTTTATTAATTTTCCAGTTTTAGTTATTTTAGTACATTAAGTTAAAATTAAAATAAGGGTTTTGTTTTTTTTATGGTTTTGTTGTTCTGATGAGACTTTACCTGGTTTTTGCTTCATCACAAGGATTTGTCATTCTGACTGAGATAATGTATAAGCATTAATGTTTTAATGATCTGAAAACATGTTTTTTTTTTTTTTCAGAAAAAGGAAAGAAAAACCTTCACAAACCAGACAAGACGACACATCTGGACTCACTCTGACTCAAACAGTGAGTAATTCATTCTAAAAGACATTAAAGACAGCAAAATGAGTAGAGAAGATCTGCTGAACAACTGTCTCTTCTCCATCAGGCCGTTGCTCTGGATAATGACGGTCAGTTTGTTTATGCCAATAACGGCATGCTGTCATCCACTGCACCGAGTGCAACTGAATCTCTTCATTATTCCTCCAGCGACTTCACAAACACTGAACCACCGTCAGGAGAGATCAGGGGCATCGCCTCGTGGATAGGATAGTTCAGCCAAAATTGAAAATTTGCTGTTAATTTACCCACTCTTAGGCCATTCAAGATGTAGGGGACTTCTTTTCTTCAGTAGAACAGTAAAAAAAAAAAGATTTTTCTGAAATCATGGTCCTTGGTAATTCATAAAATGCAAGTCAGTGGCTACAGTCACTTTGAGAGTCAAAAATATCTGTGACTCCTGGTGATATATTGAGGTCTTTTCAAGTGAAACGATCAGTGTGCAAGAAACTGAACATTTACAACATTAATACCTATAATACAGTCCTGCTTAATTTATTATGCATTTTATTACACCAATGTCTTTTATTTCAGATTCAAATATTACTATTTCTACTTTTATTCTTCATTAAATCTTTAATTATCAAGTGTATTTTAAGACATGTACTTTAGCTTAATTAAAATGTCTCTGCAAAAGGAATAGGCTACAATTGCTAATAATAATAATTTAATAAGTCCAAATAATTTATAAACTAAAATAATTTAAACTGAAGCTGATATGAAAGCAGGCATGAGGAACTCCCAGTCTGATACGTCTGGAAGAAAAATACCTTATTTAAATGTTTGATTAAATTACTTGCAGATTGTGTCGCTTCCAATTTCACACCCAGAGTCATCAGGCTTGCTTCACAAAACTCTGTCTTTGCTAGAGAACAAAAGAGATGACATTGGACTGTCTGTATCGTTTAGGAAAGAGTTTAAGGAAAGAATTGAGCATAACGCATAAATCTCGCAAATAAATAATTTAGCTTTTGAAATTCAAATGGAAAAAATATGGGTAAAATATCACTTTTTTTCAAGATTTTTGCCCAAGGATTCAAGTCTGCATGAAATGATAAATCAATTAAATTCTGAATTTTTGTTTTATATTTTATTTTAAATGTTATTCTGGACAACAAATTTGACTTTTGAACTTGTAATTTAAAAAAAAAAAAATTACCATTATGCAACTCTGCAAACAATATTATATAGAACCAGGCATTGAATGAGCAAGTTTGTTATAAATGCTGTATGTCCTCCTTTGTAAAAGGCTTTCTATGAATAATATTCAGCATTTATGAATAAAGAATTTGTCACTCAGAATATAAAGTTGACAATCATGGATGTTCAACATTTATGAATAAAGTATTCGACATTCAGAATTATATGTCAAAGAACTTGACATTCAGAATTGTAAAGTTTACAAAATTGTGGATAAGCATGTATGAATAACGAATTTGATATTCAGAATTCTAATGTTTACGAAATTGTGGAAGTTGGAATTTACAAATAAAGTTCCCATTACAATAATAAAAAAAAAAACGCTTTTCAAAATATATGGTCTTATTAAAATAACTATTACTATTTGCAAGCACATAACACATCACTTTGGTGCCCTCTGGTGGTGAGTGTTACTCATCGTAATCATAGGAACTGATGTGCAGTTTCCATCCACTCCACTAGGTGGCAGAACCGGCTTCAGTTTCAGCCTGAGACTTTCAGATCATTGACAACATGCCAACACATGCAGACTAGGGAGGCCCTTATTTTTGAACTTTCAAAATCTTCTGCCGTCACCCTCCCAGTCAACTCTCCTTAATGAGAAATGGAAACAAACCAAATTTTGCTGAGATTGGACTACGTTTAGGTGTGCTTAAAGTTGAAATTCTTCATATAGTCTTAAAGACAATAACAGCACGTAATTAATAATTATACAAAACCATTAGTAAACTGTGGATTGTTTTAAAAACGAGAACACAGATAAAATGTTAAAATGACATTGGCGCCCATAGCCTTGTAGACAGTGCAGGTGTCCCGTGTTCGAGTCCCAGCTCGCGGACATAGGAACGAACACTCAGAATGAAGTTAAGAGTGTTCTGCCATTGTCGTGACATGTTGCCAAGCATGGTAACTCATACTCAGAATTTGTGCTCTGCATTTAACCCATCAAAGTGCACACATACAGCAGTGAGTAGTGAACAACTCGCACAAACTGTGTACACACACCTGGAGCGGTGGGCAGCCAGTTTGGGGTCCGGTGTCTTGCTCAAGGGCACCTCAGTCGTGGTATTGAGGGTGGAAGAGAGCACTGGTCATTCACTGCCCCTACCTACAATCCCTGCTGGTACTGAGACTCGAACCCATGACCTTCAGGTTACAAGTCTGACTCTCGAACCATCAGCTCTTGAAGTACCTGCTGATAAAAAGATACATTCTTTGAGCACACTCTAAATGACAAATTATCTGGATGGAATTTTGCATACATTACTAACTTCGTGTAGTAACCAATAAGGGGGTGAGAGGTTAACGTTTCTTAAAAAATTAAAAACAAGTACCCCCCAATAAGGGCCACCCTAAATGCAGACAGTTTCAGTACAGATACTGGAGATGACAACTCTGTGAAAGACTCTTAATGTACAAAACAGCACATATTCCCATAAAAAAAAAGCCATAGTTTGTTGAAGTTTTTTTTTTTTTTTTAATTTGTCCTTGTTCTAACCATATCTGAAATGTAGGCTACTAGCACTTCTGGTGTTTATAGTCTCTATGATGAATCGGTCAAATTAATAAATGTATACGGTATTACTGTAAAGGAGTTTAGGGTTTAGGGAATGTCTGGCTTGAGTCCAGCAGGGGTGTCTACAAGAACACAGAGTCCAGTAATACAATGCCATATGACCGCTTTATTTATCCACCAAAGGCAGCAGAGCACAGAGGAGCAGGGTATGTGCGTGTGTGTGGTCTCTAACACAAGAACAAAAATACAACAGATTAAATCAAATGAACCATACTACGGTTACAAAGTCAGCGATACACAATATAAACAAAAGAAACAAACTTACATTGCTCAGGTATACACACACACCACACGAGTCTCTCTCTACTGGGCATCAGCACAAGCATTTATAAATCAGGACCCATTAGTACATGGCTGCAGTGATTGGCTAATTAACAGAGGACATATACAGACCAATGGGCAGCTAATTAAGGAAAAACCAGGACTAAACAAATGAAGTTGAAGCATATTAGAAGAGCAAACAGAAAGAATGTACAATGACAAGTAAACTTCAATACATTGACAAAAAGAAATAATCTTTGATACAATTAAATTTACTATACAGGCCTAAGTATATAGCTGTAGAAGTGAGAAGCTCGTATTGTTGCGTTCACATACACAGATGCCTTACATACAGACAGCAGTATTTTGCTGAAACCTCTTCTGCTTTTCCGCTTCTGTCAGTATCTTGGGCAAGAAAACATGCTTGCAGACTATTTAGTCCTCAATGTCCCACATTCCTTATTTGAGATAAACTGTAAAACAGAATTCAGAACGTGAGAAGTGTTACTGCAAAACAGTGTTGATAATATCTGAAATAAATAAAATAAGAAATGCAAAAGATGAGAAGAAAAGAAATGCATGTTTGCTGTACATTGTGTTCTTGGATTGCATTTATGTGATTCAATACATATTTCTGAACTGGTGCTGGCCAAATGGGTGTCTTAAGCAGAATTGTATTGTTGTGCCCCCTCCCTCAAATATTATGGAAGTAAAAAAAAAAACACCTATAGGGGTCAAAATAGAACTTTAATAACATATAAAAGTAAATAAAAAAATAAATTGTAATTCAGTTGTATTATTTATAAATTACAGTTGTAACTCTAGACAGTTACCTATGGCTATGATTTTATTAATACAGTTGTCTGATTGATTTTATTGTCTTGAGCATTCAGAAATCACACAAAAGAAAATTAAGCAGTTTTACTACGATAAAACCATGGTTAATATTTGTAAGGGTTGTGATGTCCACATGTTTTTGTTGAAGAAATTATAGAGGCTGTAGCATTTCTATTGCAAAGGCCAAAAAGGATTTAAGTGTATATTTGAATGAAATGTTTGGTCAATATTAAAGGGTTAGTTCACCCAAAAATTAAAATTCTGTCATTAATTACTCTCCCTCATGTCGTTTCAAACCCGTAAGACCTTCGTTCATCTTCGGAACACAAATTAAGATATTTTTGATGGAATCTGAGAGCTGTCTGACCCTCCCATAGACAGCAACACAACTGAAAAGTCCAGAGACGTAGCAAGGAGATCGGTCAAATAATCCATGTGACATCAGTGGTTCATCAATTCAATTATACGAAGCAATGAGAATACTTTTTGAGCGCAAAAGAAAAAAAAAAAAACGACTTTGTTCAACAATTCGTCTCCTCCGCGTCACCCTGTGGCGCCATTTTAGAGAATATCAGCTGGATGTAAACAGCGTATGCTGTTCTGTGTCAGCTGCGTCACACGGATACGCTGTTTTCGTTCAGATCAAATCACAGCAACGTAGGAAACAGATCCGGCGTGACACAGCTGACACAGAACAGCATACGCTGTTTACGTCCAGCTGATACTCTCCAAAATGGCGCCACAGGGTGATGCGGAGGAGACAAATTGTTGAATAAAGTGTAACTTTTATTATTTAGCCGTTATTAAGCGTAACTTACTCTGCGTATAGGGAGTGGCGGTACTGTTCCTGAATATTGAGAATTATCATCAACATAAACATTGAACACTGGATCTCACAAGACAAAAGAAATGTGTTGAATATTCAGAAAGCTTAATACTGATAGATTTCTCAGTCAGGCTACTGTCACTAAAGTTCTGACTAAAGGAGAAGTGGTGAATCTCTAATACGGGTTAAACTGTGCCATTTTCACACACAGTTCTCCCTTCATTCAGTGTAGAAGCATCAGCTTGAGCTCTGAGAGGATTTCTGTCGTCTTCAACTCTCTTCTCTGGTAAGTCATTTACACACAATCCAGTAAAACTTACACTTACTCCTGTAGTTTTGAGATTCTGAAACGTCAAGGTTTGAAACATGTTCAAGATGTCCTGTTTTTTAAATCTGTAGTATTGTTCTGTATTCTCATGTAAAAATCTAGAAAAAAAATCTAAAATGTTAATCTAGAAATGTAGAAATAAAGAGCTTAGATACCAACAAAATAGCTATAAATTCAGACCCAATACGTTATTATTTTTTTCATTCTATCAATAAACATTTGCCATCGCACACCTGTGTGTAAGATAAACAAACAAAAACAGGTCCAACATTTTTGCTTTTTTCATTCTATAAAAAATGTCTTCATTTGTTTGTATATTCTGCTGTAAGGTGGAGTGCATGTAAATGATGGAAACATCAACTATAATATCATAAAGTAATTGCCTGAATGATTTTCTCCTCCATCAGATGCTCCTAAAAACACATCGGTGAGGATAAATCCAGCTGGTTTAGTTCTAGAGGGTGGTTCAGTGACTCTGAGCTGCAGCAGTGATGCAAACCCAGCAGTGAACTACACCTGGTACAGAGACATTGAAAGACCTCTGAATCCAGTTCAGACCGGACCAAACCTGACCATCAATAATACAGACTCGACACACAGTGGACAATACTACTGTAGAGCTGAGAACAAACACGGCACTCAGAACACATCAGTGCTGCTCGACGTCCAGTGTGAGTATTAAAAGTCTTTATTTTCTCCCAACATCAGAGCCACTGAGGACGTAGTGGATTAGTTTTGTTTTTGATGGTAATGCATCAACGAATACACAAAAAACAGAAGGGAGCCCAGGGTGAGCAATAGCTCATTATCATTTAAAGAGACATGCACCAAAATGGATCGTTGTGAACAGAGTTGTTTTTGACAAGGTAAAAAGGTTTTTCTTTTTGCTCAAAGAAACTTTTGAGGAACTTTAACAAAAGTATGTTGCTGACATTTATTGAAGACCCTAAAGAATCATACCAACTTGTGGAAAATGGGCATCCGATGACCCCTTTAAGAGTCTTAATTGATTGCTAATATATATATTACCCATACTTCCATTAGTGTTATTTTATAGTTGATGTCTTTAATATTCTTTTTTTTTTTAAATCTGAGAAAAAAAAGTAATTACTCTTGTGGACGTCCAGTGCAAGTAATTTGTAATCAGCTGAAAGTCCAGTGCAAGTACATGGTAATCTGCTGGGCATCCAGTATGAGCGCTTGGTAATCTTGTGGACATTCAGTCTGAAACTTGTCAAATATAAAGGTTTACTTTAAACCTACAGCCTTTCAAATCTTGAACTGTAAACCACACATTCTACATCACACTTCTTTTTTTCTTCAGATGCCCCAAAAAACACATTTCAGTGAGGGAGGGCAAACCAGTGACTGTACAAAGTACAAAGACAGAACTCAAATTAGTTTAATCTGATAACCTTAATCTGATCCCAGATAACATAAATACTGTGAACATAGTACAATAACTGCAGCAAACACATAACGATGCTCTAGACTGCATTGCATTTGAATGGAAAGTGCATTGTTTATGGTGAAAATAAATGCAAATTGACATGAAAAAGTTGCAATTTTACCATAAAAGCATGCAAGAAAAGCATAATTTCAGACAGTCAAAATATGATTTTCAGGACAGATGTTTTTCAGAAAAAGGAAAGAAAAACCTTTAGAAACCAGACAAGATGACACATCTGGACTCATTCTGACTCAAGCAGTGAGTAATTCATTCTAAAAGACATTAAAGACAGTCGTTCAGCAGATCTTCTCCACTCATTTTGCTGTCTCTTCTCCATCAGGCCATTGCTCTGGATAATGACGGTCAGTTTGTTTATGCCAATAACGGCATGCTGTCATCCACTGCACCGAGTGCAACTGAATCTCTTCATTATTCCTCCATCGACTTCATAAACGCTGAACCACCACCAGGGGAGATCAGGGGCATCGCCTCACTGACCAGTGAATACGCTGCGGTCCAACACCGTCCTGCAGGAGACGCAGACGCAGAGAACAACACCTCAACATCTGAGACAGAGCCCAAAAAATAAGACATGACAGCAGAGATCACAGACACATCAGAAGACGTGATTTATGAAAACACGAGCCATCACTACAGACAGAAGGAACCGCTGGTCAGATGATGCTGAAAAACACGACTGAACCAAAACCTTTGAATCTTTGAGCACCAGAGGGATTTTTAGAGCGATTTAAGGAATCTTTCATCCAAAAATTACAATTACAAACCTATAAAGCTTTTTTAGGATAGTTCATTCATCACAGAATCAGAAACTCCACTATTTTGTGTCATTTCGAGTCGGAGTGACTGTCAGGCGTCTGAAAGTGAGTTTTGATTGAGTACCTTGTAGATCTGTGCTGCTCGAGCCACGAACCGTTTCAGACGTTTCAGTCCGGTTTGGTGAACTGGTTCATTTAGTTCACTAAAAAGAACCGGTTCAAAATAATGATTTGTTTGTGAACCAGACATCACTCCAGACTGTCTGAGGCATTACAGGCAATAATGTTGTAAATAATGTTCAGTTTCTTATGCAGACCAATCGTTTCATTTCAGAAGACCTTAATATTCATCAGGTGCCACAGGGGTTACATTTGATCTGCTGCCTGATATGCTTTTTTGACGCTCAAAGTGATGGTACCCATTGACTTGCATTTTATAAATCACCAAGGACCAGAATTTCAGCTAAAAATCTTCTTTATTCTTCTACTGAAGAAAAAAAAAGTCACTTACATCTTGGGTGGTGAGTCCAATCATGTTTTTGGTTCTCAACTTTCTTCAAAATATCTTTATGATATTTATCCACATACCATATATGAATGAACAAACAGAAAACATGAGCTATTTTAAGGTGTTTATCAGAACACATGTTTGGGGGAAAAAAGGCAAATTAGTTTATTTTGCATGGTCTGTTATTGGAGCAGTGTCACCTTGGTGGGAGTTTTAACTCCTATTCACAGAGAATAAAAAAATTTAAATAAATGAAAATAAAAAAACCTTTAGCAGATGCAGAGACATATAGATTGGGGGAATCCCCCATCTCCCTCTGAATATTACATATAAGGTAACTACGTGTAAACGCTATTTGGCGGTTTTTACTTCGAAAACCAGCTATATTTTTCTAGCATTCGAACAACAATTAAATCAACAATTTAAACAAAATTAAACAACTTTTAAATCGACACCTGCCACAGTGTTTTCCTCTTTGAGTGCGTCCTAAAAGCATCATGCACAAATCAGTTCAGAATCAGATCAGAGGTGTTTATGTCATCCACTGCACCGAGTGCAACTGAATCTCTTCATTATTCCTCCATCGACTTCATAAACGCTGAACCACCACCAGGGGAGATCAGGGGCATCGCCTCACTGACCAGTGAATATGCTGCGGTCCAACACCGTCCTGCAGGAGACGCAGACGCAGAGAACAACACCTCAACATCTGAGACAGAGCCCAAAAAATAAGACATGACAGCAGAGATCACAGACACATCAGAAGACGTGATTTATGAAAACACGAGCCATCACTACAGACAGAAGGAACTGCTGGTCAGATGATGCTGAAAAACACGACTGAACCAAAACCTTTGAATCTTTGAGCACCAGAGGGATTTTTAGAGCGATTTAAGGAATCTTTCATCCAAAAATTACAATTACAAACCTATAGAACTTTTTTAGGATAGTTCATTCATCACAGAATCAGAAACTCCACTATTTTGTGTCATTTCGAGTCGGAGTGACTGTCAGGCGTCTGAAAGTGAGTTTTGATTGAGTAACTTGTAGATCTGTGCTGCTCGAGCCACGAACCGTTTCAGACGTTTCAGTCCGGTTTGGTGAACTGGTTCATTTAGTTCACTAAAAAGAACCGGTTCAAAATAATGATTTGTTTGTGAACCAGACATCACTCCAGACTGTCTGAGGCATTACAGGCAATAATGTTGTAAATAATGTTCAGTTTCTTATGCAGACCAATCGTTTCATTTCAGAAGACCTTAATATTCATCAGGTGCCACAGGGGTTACATTTGATCTGCTGCCTGATATGCTTTTTTGACGCTCAAAGTGATGGTACCCATTGACTTGCATTTTATAAATCACCAAGGACCAGAATTTCAGCTAAAAATCTTCTTTATTCTTCTACTGAAGAAAAAAAAAGTCACTTACATCTTGGGTGGTGAGTCCAATCATGTTTTTGGTTCTCAACTTTCTTCAAAATATCTTTATGATATTTATCCACATACCATATATGAATGAACAAACAGAAAACATGAGCTATTTTAAGGTGTTTATCAGAACACATGTTTGGGGGAAAAAAGGCAAATTAGTTTATTTTGCATGGTCTGTTATTGGAGCAGTGTCACCTTGGTGGGAGTTTTAACTCCTATTCACAGAGAATAAAAAAATTTAAATAAATGAAAATAAAAAAACCTTTAGCAGATGCAGAGACATATAGATTGGGGGAATCCCCCATCTCCCTCTGAATATTACATATAAGGTAACTACGTGTAAACGCTATTTGGCGGTTTTTACTTCGAAAACCAGCTATATTTTTCTAGCATTCGAACAACAATTAAATCAACAATTTAAACAAAATTAAACAACTTTTAAATCGACACCTGCCACAGTGTTTTCCTCTTTGAGTGCGTCCTAAAAGCATCATGCACAAATCAGTTCAGAATCAGATCAGAGGTGTTTACTGGTTAGTCAGAATTCGTTCTGCACTAATTGTTTTCAGAGGTTTACGGAGCAAGTTGTGACAAAAACTAGGGAGTGGAAATGGCAACTGAGCTGATGAGTGATCCTCTGCTACCATCTCTTGGTTATAATGGTCATTTAATTTTCATCTTAAAAGTCTTTGTTTTCCCTCCAGGAGACACATTTTTCATCATTAATGAAAAGTGAATCTTTAAAGTGAATTTTACTGCATAGGCTTCAGAATATTTTAAGTGTTTAAAAAATTGTGCACTATAGATGAACAGTGGGTAAAGGGCAGTGTTTTTGTGTGTGTGTGTGTGTGTGTGTGTGTGTGTGTGTGTGTTTCATAAACTTGGTACTGATAACAGTTCAACATTATTTACCTTAGCCTACCTTTGGGGTCTTTGCTATTATATTCCAATATTTTTATGCCTCAATTAGCTAGTTATAGATTAAGAGTTGTTGTTTTTTTACAGATGACTTACTGCTGTGTTTAATAATTTAAGTTGTCAAAATAACATTCAGTTCTGTAAATGCATTGTCTGCTGGTTTATTTAGCTACTTTTCAGTACACCACATTAAGTATGTCACTTAGTACTGTAAGACTTTGAATGTTAAAGTGCAAATTAACACCCGACCACTCCAACAGTCCATCAACAGTTTGCTACTGTTACAATTAAAAATCGTAGAAGGGTAAAAATAAATAAATAAATGTATAAAAAAATGGTATGATGTAAGCAACACAGCTACAACAAATAAAATTGTGGGTGTGTTAGATAATGGGTGTGTCAGATTTATAATGTGCCCATCGACTTCCCAAACGCTGCCCCGCCGTCAGCAGAGATCAGGGGCATCGCCTCGCTGACCAGTGAATACGCTGCGGTCCGACAGCGTCCTGCAGGAGCCGCAGACGCAGAGAACAACACCTCAACATCTGAGACAGAGCCCAAAAAACAAGACATGACAGCAGAGATCACAGACACATCAGAAGACGTGATTTATGAAAACACGAGCCATCACTACAGACAGAAGGAACTGCTGGTCAGATGATGCTGAAAAACACGACTGAACCAAAACCTTTGAATCTTTGAGCACCAGAGGGATTTTTAGAGCGATTTAAGGAATCTTTCATCCAAAAATTACAATTACAAACCTATAGAACTTTTTTAGGATAGTTCATTCATCACAGAATCAGAAACTCCACTATTTTGTGTCATTTCGAGTCGGAGTGACTGTCAGGCGTCTGAAAGTGAGTTTTGATTGAGTAACTTGTAGATCTGTGCTGCTCGAGCCACGAACCGTTTCAGACGTTTCAGTCCGGTTTGGTGAACTGGTTCATTTAGTTCACTAAAAAGAACCGGTTCAAAATAATGATTTGTTTGTGAACCAGACATCACTCCAGACTGTCTGAGGCATTACAGGCAATAATGTTGTAAATAATGTTCAGTTTCTTATGCAGACCAATCGTTTCATTTCAGAAGACCTTAATATTCATCAGGTGCCACAGGGGTTACATTTGATCTGCTGCCTGATATGCTTTTTTGACGCTCAAAGTGATGGTACCCATTGACTTGCATTTTATAAATCACCAAGGACCAGAATTTCAGCTAAAAATCTTCTTTATTCTTCTACTGAAGAAAAAAAAAGTCACTTACATCTTGGGTGGTGAGTCCAATCATGTTTTTGGTTCTCAACTTTCTTCAAAATATCTTTATGATATTTATCCACATACCATATATGAATGAACAAACAGAAAACATGAGCTATTTTAAGGTGTTTATCAGAACACATGTTTGGGGGAAAAAAGGCAAATTAGTTTATTTTGCATGGTCTGTTATTGGAGCAGTGTCACCTTGGTGGGAGTTTTAACTCCTATTCACAGAGAATAAAAAAATTAAAATAAATGAAAATAAAAAAACCTTTAGCAGATGCAGAGACATATAGATTGGGGGAATCCCCCATCTCCCTCTGAATATTACATATAAGGTAACTACGTGTAAACGCTATTTGGCGGTTTTTACTTCGAAAACCAGCTATATTTTTCTAGCATTCGAACAACAATTAAATCAACAATTTAAACAAAATTAAACAACTTTTAAATCGACACCTGCCACAGTGTTTTCCTCTTTGAGTGCGTCCTAAAAGCATCATGCACAAATCAGTTCAGAATCAGATCAGAGGTGTTTACTGGTTAGTCAGAATTCGTTCTGCACTAATTGTTTTCAGAGGTTTACGGAGCAAGTTGTGACAAAAACTAGGGAGTGGAAATGGCAACTGAGCTGATGAGTGATCCTCTGCTACCATCTCTTGGTTATAATGGTCATTTAATTTTCATCTTAAAAGTCTTTGTTTTCCCTCCAGGAGACACATTTTTCATCATTAATGAAAAGTGAATCTTTAAAGTGAATTTTACTGCATAGGCTTCAGAATATTTTAAGTGTTTAAAAAATTGTGCACTATAGATGAACAGTGGGTAAAGGGCAGTGTTTTTGTGTGTGTGTGTGTGTGTGTGTGTGTGTGTGTGTTTCATAAACTTGGTACTGATAACAGTTCAACATTATTTACCTTAGCCTACCTTTGGGGTCTTTGCTATTATATTCCAATATTTTTATGCCTCAATTAGCTAGTTATAGATTAAGAGTTGTTGTTTTTTTACAGATGACTTACTGCTGTGTTTAATAATTTAAGTTGTCAAAATAACATTCAGTTCTGTAAATGCATTGTCTGCTGGTTTATTTAGCTACTTTTCAGTACACCACATTAAGTATGTCACTTAGTACTGTAAGACTTTGAATGTTAAAGTGCAAATTAACACCCGACCACTCCAACAGTCCATCAACAGTTTGCTACTGTTACAATTAAAAATCGTAGAAGGGTAAAAATAAATAAATAAATGTATAAAAAAATGGTATGATGTAAGCAACACAGCTACAACAAATAAAATTGTGGGTGTGTTAGATAATGGGTGTGTCAGATTTATAATGTGCCAATAATCATGCATTGACAATAATCAGTCGTATTGGTGGCACTGAGCCCCCAAATAAGATTCTGCTTAGGGTCCCATAAAGGCTTGGGCCGGCCCTGCCTGTATCATGTCAATCATCACGAACACTACAAATTTGAGCAATTCAAAGGATAAAAGCACCGAAGAAGAAGTAAAAACACAAATTACATCTTTTGTAAAAGACTTTGTTTCCTAAAAGACTAACAGGAGAAGTGCAAAACGGGAAACATTCAGATGAACCAATGAGGGTTTACCACTGAGATGATGGCGCGCATGCACACACACACACACACACACACAGTAGACCGTTTAATTAATTATCTTAAACTCAACACATGTATTTTGGATTTCAGGATTTTGTAACTGTTTCACTTCTGTCTGTATCCTGCTGTAATCATGAATGATTGTGATATTAAATCATTAATCAATCATCAAGACTCACATTTGACTGAAATCCATCCTGACAGTTCATTAAATATAAAGAGATCTGAACATATGATCTGAATGACTAATCTTGGTCTTTCTCTGCTGCCATCTATACACAAGATTACACCTCAAACACCCCAGTAATGGTTTAATAGTGCAGTATTCTTGAAACCGGAATTGTGGCCTAACATTTTATGTAAAACCTCCTTATCGTAGCCTGAATAAACTCAAATCACTTCTAGAATGCATCCAGAACACCTGAGAAGAGATGATGCCAACCCCTCAGAGGACCTCAGATGATGCCAACCCTGAAACAACATACAGAACTACCACATTTTGCTATAAGTTTGATTGCATCATATAATAATTGCTGTTAATAGTGTTCATTGTCTGTTTGATTATGTCTTAAATTGATTTTAAATGACTTTCTCATTCTACATTTGAATTTATTGTAATGTTACAGTCAATCAATAATTAGTCTATTTTCCTGATAGAGGAAGACTGTACATTCCTATATATGACATATGTTATCTTCGTCAACCTATAGGACTTTACTAGCATAAAGATGAGCTCAAAGCTACAGATAAGCAGCAAAAGACACCTTTTCATTTTGTGTGAACTTTAAAAAGTAACTGTATGTAAGTTGTTATGCGAGTTGAAATGTCAGTTCAGTCAGTAAAATGGCTTCTAACAAGACGAATAACCGTATCTTTTTCCAAACGTCTGTTCTAGGAGGACGTCATCAGGTGAGCAGGTACGAAATTCCGCGAAAAGGTCGGATTGCTTTACGGCAGCAACAAATGCACGACTTACGACAGTGAACTCAAGTCTTACAGTAGGTGGCTGCAAAATCGCAAAATTACACAAACTACATTCAGTTGCTTTAAGCTTGCTTTTAATAGTTTAAAAAAAAGATTTTGTAAAGTTGTAAATGACTGCAGATTTTTGGAGTATGTTTGACAAGAATTTCAAATTTTATGTTTAATTCAATGTGCTGCTGTTTCTTTGTAATTATTAGTGAAATCTGCTAGCAATTTCTGAGTACAAATTGTTCCACTGTAAATCCTACAGCGCATTAACAAAAAAAAAAATTAACATGAGAACATAACTATTGTCAATAAACAATATAAATATAAACATTTCAAATATATTAAAAAATATTTTATTTTGAATGTAACATTTAGATTTTAAAAACATTTTTCTTATTTTAAATTTAAACATGAAATTTGTAAAAAAAAAGAAAATTTTTATATTATGAATAGTATATGTGAGCGTGTATAAAATGTATAGGGCATGTTATACAAAATAAATAAATAAAACATCCATCCAAAACAAGTAAGACAGAGTTTACAAAGATTTAGATGGTTTGGTACATAACTGGTATGAGAACAGTTATAATTTTCAGGAGAGAAACCTAAAACCTATTTAAAGGGATAGTTCACCCCCCAAAAAATTACGCATTCACCCTCAATGTTTTTTTGAACTCTCATTGTTTGAACTGTTTTTGTCTATACATATATATATATATATTTTTTTTTGTTTGTTTGTTTGTTTTTTCCCTTGCACATGCCTTTAAAAAATTTGCAGGTCAAAATGATTTTTAATATCACAACGGAAATTAACATCATATTCGTAATAGAGATTTCATGAACACATCCCAAAATTCTTCAGATTGTTGAATCTTTCCAGGCATGTTCATGACCCTACATGAGAAAGTGTCTCACAATTTCAAGAAAAACATTCTTACCTGTATTTTTGAAAACTCATAAATATGTAAAACTGACCTGGAACATAAACATACAAAACCAATTCAGATAAAGAATATTATTTCATTTTCTTTTCCTATCGTTTCACAGTCAGATGAAAAAAAAAAAGACGATGACATACAGGAACTTGGCCATTTTCAGTTTATTTTCTCATGAACTCTTTTGCAACGAACAGTCAAGCACACAATTTTATCAAAGTACAGTTTTCCATTCCAGGACCTCGACCGTACAACGTCTGACAGCACAACATGGAGACAAATGTTGAGTAGAGAAAGGTCGAAATCCATGTCCACTACTTCACTGCTGTGACAATCTCGTATGTAAAAAGCAAACATGCACGAGTTACACAGGGAAAACAAGAAACATTTTCAGTAGGGGACTTTTTTGTTAGAAAATAATTTTACTGCAAACCCAATGCAGCTCAATCACCTCATCTGTACAAACATCAGTGGCAGAGCACAAACGATTGAGATTGTAAAGATCACGTTGGCAGTAGAAGCTTCATCTGAAAACTCAGCTTGGCTCAAAACGAAGGGTTGCCGTTAAGACATCAAGGTGTTCAATTCTAGTAGAAAAATGGCTGTTTTTCATGTCTGGAATGCTCTAAGACGAGATTTTAGTGTGCGTGTGCTATCTCTACTGAGACTCATAACGTGCAGGAGAAAAAATATCTCAAATTGCCTAAAGTAATCGCTGCACTACTGCTAAACGAGCTGAGGAAGACGCATGAATACTGTGTGCGACATACAAAAGACGGACGACGGAAGGCAGAAACGTCTTAGAAACGGTGATCCAAAAATACAGTTTGGCAATAGACCACCAGCAGGCAGTGTAGAAAAATTAATGCTCATGAGATCCTCAAATAGTGTCTATTGATCACGATGCTGTAAAACCGTACAAAATATATTTGACCGCTGGCGGAGTAGGAGATTCATAAAACGTTATTAATACACTCATTTTGGTTCTTCTGACAAGCAAACAGAAATAAAAGTGCTTCAGAAAGGTGAAAAAACAAACGATAAACTAGAAAAGTAACATATTTAGACGGAAGAAGCACAGGCTGTGCTGCATAGAAACTACCAAAGTCAATGATTGAAAAGCTCCCTCACGAGCTTTTTTTTCTTTCCCGCAGGTTTAAGTCCCTCTAGATTCAGAGCACTTCAAACATAAAACAACATTGAAATGGAGACTCGACGCTTTTTCTCTTCACTTTTCGCTTTTCTTTAAAAAATATGGGAAGCCCTCAGTCATTTCCGGAAATAGATGTTCTTAACCAGCCTTTTGATTCACCCTCGCAAATATACATTTGTACATTTTTGGTATGTATATCATCTGAAAAGGAATATATTTATATATCTAGAATATTTACAGACTGATGAAACTATCTTACGCTGGTCTACAGACAGAAATATCCTCATCTAACAATCGCAAATAAACTCAGTGTCCTGCTGTACAAACAGAAAAATTAACAAACATACATGGTGTCGAGTGTCATATTTCACACTTAAATCAAAAGAAATGTAAAAAGTAATTTTATATTTAATAAATGTAATTATTAATCAATAATAAAAAAAATTAATAATATAACAATTATTTAATATTTTATCATTGGGAATATATATATATATATATATATATATATATATATATATATATAATTATTTGATCAAATGTATTTAATATTTAAAATGTAATATAACAGTAGTTACTTTTACAGTAACACTAAAAATACTGTATTACTGTAATGAGAATTGCTATTAAGCATAACTCAAGATCCATTAAAAATGCATTAAATTTGGGGGTAAATGTGCTTAATTGTCATGAAAAGGTTAAACTAAACACTTTAAGGAATTATTTTACGTTCCTTAAAAATAGGCTGCAGTTTTTTCATGAATAGACTTTTTTTTTCTTTTGATTTTGGGTGTTCATGTTTAAACTGGTGGATGTATAGTTGAGCAAGCGAATGTGTGATGTTATAAATGCATCAGGTCTGTTGCAGTTCACTGGCCTTTCCCTCCGAACGCGGCAAATGAAAAAACAAGAAAAAAGACAAAACACCAACCAAAACCGCAGTGAAGATGCTAGACTATGTTCTTGTAGGCTTTAGTACCACACGGTACGAGAGTTTTCCGGCTGGATTACATGGTATTAGAACAGACAGGACACAAACGAACAGCCAAAAGACACAAACACACTCACAGAGAGAGAGAAATGGCTGCAAACAGCAAAGCTTTGAGCGGTAGATCCAGTGGTCCAAAACACTGTCTGTAGTCGAGAAGGCTAAAATCATCAGAAGACACAAAGGCAACGTCTCCAGATGTTGGATGGCGATGAGAATGTAAAGGAGAAACAATGTAAAATGCGGTTGCATATATAATCGGTATTAAGGACAGTCGTTATAAAAGAGGACACCTTTAAAAACAGCACATGGAGGAGTCAGGTGGAGCGAGCGGCCGGTGAGGAAAGCTAAAGAAACACCTGTGTGTGTGTGTGTGTGTGTGTGGATGGCTGAAGACACCTCTGGAAGAGGAAGTGCTCGGAGGACGGGGACACACACTTCCTGTTGCTCTGGTCATTAGGTCAGAGTGCTGGAAGCCCTAAAGTAGGACAGGAACTTGAAGCACAAGCTCACGACGAAGTACCAGATGTTCCTGGCCATCTGAGAGCGAGCGATGAAGACGCGCCAGATGAAGACCAGCAGCACCGTGTTGAACGTGTATCGGATGTTTCTCAGCCTGTGAACGGAGGATCAATAATTCAATGAAACATTCAATTCAATTTAATTCAATGCATGATGCGACGATTGAATCCTCACGGTCTTGTTTATGCTGCTATTCGCCACATAAAACTAAAGCCCTGTACAAAACAAGACCAAAAAATACATTCTAATCTGACTGATTAATGATCGACTAATGAGCTTCGTTTGACGGTCAGGAATATAAAAATGAACAAAATGCTGTCAATCTACAATTCTCCACCGTATTTACTATGCTGTGCGCAAGTTCAGGTAACTCAAAAACTTGCGTACACGAGCTGAGACCAGACGTGAGATTTGATCGTAGCCACCGCTCACGTCCATATTGATAAATTCCACGTTTTGCGTTGAAACGACCGTACGCCCAATTTTCTGTCGTACGTTCGTTTCGTAAATGAGGCCCAAGGTGTTTAATCAAGCTTCCTCTTCTCTATGGACAGGATGCAGTGTGTTTATAGGCCACACCGCCATTATTTATTCACCCTCATGCAAAACTCGCATATGACCTCAGAAGACCTTTGGTGATGCAGAAATAAAAAACTATTGTTAATTATTATATTATACTATAGAAACAAAAAATATCTGTTGAAGAAATAGAAATGAGAAAATAAGACTCAATAATAAATAATTATATTATAAATGTTTCTACAGAAACAAAAAAATAGAAAATAAAAAATAAAACAATAGAAAATAAAAAAACAGCACAATATAATAAATGTCATTTTAATATAACATACACTACCCTTCAAAAGTTTGGGATTAATACTTTTGACACCCTGGAGCACAAAAGCAGTCTTCAGTCGCTGGGGTATATTTGTAGCAACAGCCAACAATACATTGTATGGGTCAAAATGATAGATTTTTCTTTTATGCCAAAAATCATTAGGATATCAAGTAAAGATCATGTTCCATGAAGGTATTTTGTAAATTTGCTACCGTAAATATATCAAAACGTAATTTTTTATTAGTAATATGCATTGCTAAGAACTTCATTTGGACAACTTTAAAGATGATTTTCTCAATATTTAGATTTTTTTGCACCCTCAGATTCCAGATTTTCAAATAGTTGTATCTCAGACAAATATTGTCCTATCCTAACAAACCATACATCAATGGAAAGCTTATTTATTCAGCTTTCGGATGATGTATAAATCTCAATTTCGAAAAATTTATGACCCTTGTGACTGGTTTTGTGCTCCAGGGTCATATTTGAATTCAATTTCAGCTGTAAAGCAGCTCTGCAGAAGGCAATGGTGTCATTATTCAGCTCAGTTTAGATTCAGTAAGTGTGTAGACGTGTCATCAGATGGACGTACTTCCTCAGGTGCTGTCTGGCGGCGGGAATGTCGGACATGTCCTCGTTCAGAACATACTTCTTGGTGCCGATACAGTAATTCTCGATGTACTCGGGCCAGTTCAGCTGGCGAACGTCAAAGTTGAAGGTCTGAAAGATCACGAGGATGAGTTCAGCACAGTTTCGTCCACAGACTGTCAGTATGCTCGTGTGATTGCGTGTGTGTATAGTAGTGTGACGAATAACCCTGAAATGTTATCAACTGTGCTTTTTTTTTAGGTGTTATATTTAGCCTTTTATTAGGGTTTTATTACAAATGCAAAACAACTACTCATGCATTTGACTTGAGCTTCTATTTGCAATGCAAATTAAGCTGCAGTTATGCAATTATGATTTATTTTTTTACATCAGTCTGCACACCTGAAATTAAACATGCAGCACAGTGACAATAATACTCTTTCAAACATTTAGCATTGCATACTGCATATTTCATATGCTTTTTCTATTAAAAATAGCATGTACACGGTTTATTTATTTATTTTTATTTGTGTATTTTCAATGAACCTGAAGTTATGAAATTATGATTTCTTTTAATTTTTGAGAGGAGCCTTGATGCCTGGAATTACACATGCAATGGTGACAATAACAATGTTTCAAACATTTATTGCATACTATTTTATATGCTTTTTTTGGATTGGATTGTATAATATAAAAATATTTAAGTTGTAAATAAACAAAAAATTCATTCAGTTTTTCAACTTCAAAATTGCATGTTTAATTCAATGCATTACTTGCTTCTTTGTAATTAGTTACTACTAATTAGGCTACTTCAATTTCTTTGTGATTTAATCGATTTTATTTTTGAGACTGGAATTAAACATGTAATACAATACTGACCATGACACGATTTCAAACATTTATCATTGTATACTGCATACTATTTCTAAAAATATACATTTTTCAAAGTTGCAAAACAAAATGATTGAGAAATAAGAGCAAAAATATTTTTACTTATTAAAATTTTGTGAAAACTGAGTAAGTGCCACAACACCGTAAAATCTACTGTACAGCTTCTGTATTTATTTCTATATTTATATGTATTTTCTATATTTATTCTCTCTCTCTACTATATTCTATATGCCATTTATTCTAATTCCTTATTCCTTCATACATTCTGTGTTCTATCATTTTTTTTTATTAATGCCTGTGTATGTCCTTAACTCATTGTTGCACTGTGAGATGAGGAACTACAGAAAACCATTTCACGGCATTACATCACATGTAATATGCGACAAAGAACTACATTTCTTTCAGTGTAGTATACAGTCTAGAGCAGTGGTTCCCAATCCTGGTCCTGGAGAACCCCCAACACCGCACATTTTAGATGTCTCCCTATTTAAACACACCTGATTCAACTCATCAGCTCATTAGTGAAGACTCCAAGACATCAAATGTGAGTGTCAGATAAGAGAGACACCAAAATCGTGCAGTGTTGGGGGTTCTCCAGGACCAGGATTGGGAACCACTGGTCTAGAGTATGCAGTATTCATAACTCGCTCACACAGGATATCAAAGCATGTTACGCACCGATCTCTCCCCAGTGGAAAGGGTTAATGCCTCCGGTTGTGCAGTTGTACACGAGTGCAGTTTTCGGTCTGAAACGAAAACACAGAACAAGGAGATCACACTGTGCCGCATGAGCACAACCGCACATTTCCCCCTCATGCAAATACATCAACAGAGGGATTTTTCATGCTAATGTTCTCCGTTTAATCACCTGCGGGTCTCGCATAAGTTAATCAGACAGGTGAAGCTGACCTGTGCACTGCGGTGTACCAGCCAGCAGCCAGCGTCAGGTTTATAACCACGTCTACAGGAATCAGATCGGCCACCGCGTCATTACTGGCTCTCATGGTGCGCAGGATGCCCTTCCCAGCCTGCACCGGGACACACAAAACACACGCTTCTTCAGAGAGGATGCCAAACGCACCATCTGCCTCTGTCTGGCTGTGAGCTTCACGCAGGCGTTTAGGAGGATGAAACTGCTTCATGACTTCAGGAAATACAGATTAATGAAATACGAGGGGCAGATTGTTTTCATCGCTTTCAATCGTGCCAGGTCGCCTTGTTGCATTTCGGTGCAACTTATAAGCCATTCGTTTGACATTAAATCAGCACTGGTGCGCAGTCCTTTAAACTTTACTTTGTCCATCTTAATTAATGAAATATTAGTCAGAAATTTAAATAGAGCAGTTTATTGAAACCTATAGGCTACAGAAGAAAATCAATAATCATATACTAAATATTACTTGCATAACATGATCTAAATATCAGTGGTCACTCTATATCTCCAATAATATGTCTTAGTGAGATGAGATTGAAATGATCCACACATATAATGCAATGAAATCTAATGATGATTGAGAGCTGAAGAAATAAAGGCTCCTCAGAAGATGTGAGATGTTCTGGAGGCTTGTGAAGATCATTCCTCCGCTGAGGAACAGTGAAAGTAAAGCTTCTGGAAACAAATGCTCCTCAAAAGATCCGGAGGATCAGATTTGAGACGCGCTGATTTTTCTAAAAAATGTTTGATGGAGAATCAAGTAAAGCAGAGCTGCTTCAGTAAGTGTTCATCTGGAAATATTACTGCAATTATTCTGACGTTTACATGATAAAAATTTGTCAGATTTGACAACAAAAGACACGTGAAGCAGCAGCTGAAGCTGGACGTTTGTGTAATTACACTAAAAGAGCTTTATCAAACATATGACTTAAGGCTTGTAGTATATTGTGTGCGACAGGTTTATCGGCAAAGTTTTGATCATTTAGAGGCTTTTGAAAATCACTTAAAGTAATGTTAGGGTTAAGATGGCTCTCTGTGGGGCTCAGGATGTGTTAAACTTTCAGATCTACCGTAGCACACCATGAATCAATACTTACAGCAATGAAAACACCACTTGGTCCATTAAAGTTGTCTATCCAACCCTGTAAAATACAGAAAAAAAGAGTCAAGAGTCCAAACCATGTTATTTTAATATAATTGAGATACTTTCATAGTTCTTGTTAATATTTTGAATTAGATTTCATTTTTAAATTTTCAGTTTTCATTTTAATTTTAGTTAAACTTTAGTTTAATTATGTTGTCTTTTCATCTTTTTTATTTTTAATTATAAATTTAATAATAGTAATATTTTTTAATGTGTGTGTGTGATATTTTAGTTTTAGTTATTTTAATATTTCAAATGAAACTAAACAAAAATGAGCAATGTTGCCTTGGCATCTACCTGAAATAAAATAAATTTCAATGTCTATATAGTTTTATTTTATTTACTTTTTTATTTTAGAATTATTTTCATGTATTTAGTTTTATAGTATATGGAGTTCACCTAAATGTATTATTATTTTTTTAAATATATGTCTAAATAGTTACATTTTTAGTTTGTTATTTTGGTACTTCAAATAAAAAGTTTATTTAATCAGTTAATTTTTAATTTTTTTATGTTTTTAGTTTTAGTTAATGATAACAACCCCAAACGTCTCTATGATGTTCTGGTATGTATGTTTATGCCATCATTAGTCCAGGTTTGAACCTAAATCCTCTGGGTTAGCAGCCCAGATCTTTAACCATTATGCCTCATCACTCAGACATAAGAACTTTGTTGCGAGCGGATGCGTCACTCACGGGGAACGGCTCCTGCCAGCTGGCTCCCACGATGGACGGCCGTATGATGCCGATGTTGAGTTTGCCGCTCTCCTGCTGCACCACACACTCGGCCAGCGCTTTGGTGTAAGTGTAAGTGTTCGGCCGGTCACCGATCAGACGCGGCGTGATGTCACGGACGATACTGTCATCCATCCACCTACACACACACACACACACACACACACACACACACTGCTCTGCTTCAGGGTCAGTACAGTGTGTCAGACAAAACATCCTGATGCAATATGGCTTGACCGAGTCAAACTATGTGGAAAATGACCAGTGGCGTAAACCAAGTGTTTTCAAACTGGGGTTCGTGGAAAAGGTTAGAGGGAAAAAAAAAGAATAAACTAAAAATGTTTTAGATTTTTTTTTGAAAAAATCAAATAAATAATAAAAAATTGATTAAAATGAACAAATTAATACATAATAAAATTTTTTACAAATATGTAAATACTACATCTAAAAGTGTAGTGAGTAGAAAAAGGAACGTGTCAAGAAATTAATTAACTGAAGTAATAAAAATATAAAGAAAAAGAAAAAAATACTGATTAAAATAAATTAAACAACAAATATAGATTAAAATAAATAACAAAATAACATATTTAAATAAATAATACACCTAACAAGTACAGTACTATAGTGAATAGAAAAAACTACTAATGTAAATGTAATAGAAACAAAACATTCTCAAAATATTTCGACATATTTAATAATATTAGCATCAGTTTTTCAAAGTATTGGGACTTTCTACAAAAGTGTAGTGAGTAGAAAAAGGAACGTGTCAAGAAATTAATTAACTGAAGTAATAAAAAAATAAAGAAAAAGAAAAAAATACTGATTAAAATAAATTAAACAACAAATATAGATTAAAATAAATAACAAAATAACATATTTAAATAAATAATACACCTAACAAGTACAGTACTATAGTGAATAGAAAAAACTACTAATGTAAATGTAATAGAAACAAAACATTCTCAAAATATTTCGACATATTTAATAATATTAGCATCAGTTTTTCAAAGTATTGGGACTTTCTACATAAAAATATACACCTGCCTATACATTTTACAAATTTATATTTTATGAAAATTATTACTTAAAAAAAACATTAACTAACTGAAAATATTATTTCTTTTATTATTTCAGCTAGTTGCCAAGAACACATTTCTTTGTTTTTATTTTAGTTTAACTTGATGTACTAAAATAACTAAAAATTATATCGACACAAAAAACACTACAGAAAATGACAAAAATACACAACAAAATTACTTAAACTTTAAAAGGAAAAAAGGAAAATATATACATATAAACTAATTCAAAACATTAACCAAAATATCTAAAAGTATCTTGATACTAAAATAACACTGGTGTCCATGGCTTATTTTCACGTTTCTCTCCTTGCTTTATCTTTATTTAGTTTTGATATATTTTTCAGCATACCATAATTCTGTTCCGAGGCATTAGCTTAAGTCTGATATTGAATACACTCTTCCCTCACACCTCTGGATTGTGTCAGCTCCATCAGGTAACATGAGCTCATGGCTGTGGTTGCCGGGTAGATTCTGTAAGAGAGTTTGAGGTGATGATATATTGTACTCACTCCAGAGAGTCGATGAGTTTCTTGGGCTCGACCGGAAGAGGGTAGATGACCTCGTCGATGTGTCTGCGGTTGCAGTTGGCGTAGGCGGTGGAGATGTGGATGAAGGCCTGCAGGTGCTGCATCTGCTGCGCCAGAGAGAGGAGCTGCAGCGTGGCGATGACATTCAGCTGCAGCGCATGCCTGCGCAGACACACGCATTCATTATTGCACATTAGAAACCATTAAAAAAAACATACAACATAGATAAATCACTGCTCTGCTTCAGGGTCAGTACAGCGTTTCAGACATGCAACATCAGAGTTATATAACATGGAAAATAAGACATGCAATAGCCGGCAATGTAGACCAAAAAACATAAATAATTAAATAAATTTGATTCAAATAAATGAATAATAAAAATACAATAAATACATTAATAATAAAAAAGATTAAATAAAAAAATATATATATGATATAATATATGATAAAAAATATATATGTAATACATCTAACAGCACAGTACTGTAATGACTGAGGAAAAGTAACAAGATATTAGTAACAAATGATTTATTATTATAATTTGGCATAGATCAAAAATACATAGATAATATTTAAAAAATAAATGAATATATAAATAAATTAAAATAAAAAAAACAATATCTTAACCTTAACAAACCCACTGATTTGTTAACTGATGGAATATGCTTTTGTTCAAGCCATCAACCCACATTATTTCAACTTGTTTTTAAAATAAGTTTAACGGAGTAGAAAAACTACATTTTCCATGATACTGCAAAGAAATCTGCACCAATGAGAGAAACAATGGCGGCTAAAGAACTGCCTATATATATATATATATATATATCTCAGTACAGTACTATAGTGAGCAGAAAAAGTAAAAAGGTAATGTAAAAAACTTTTCATTATTTCAAAATGTACAAATTATAATTAAATTATATTTAAAAATAAATAAATTGATTAAAATAACTAAATAATACAAATGATTAAAATAAAGAAATTACTTCAACTTTAAATAAAAATATTAAAACAAAAATACTTTTTTATAAATGATTATAAATGTTTTAAAATGTAAACAGTATTTTTAAATATAAAAATTATAATAGCATATTACTGATACTGGTCAGTGATGCTGCTGAGAGTAAGAGGACTGCATTCTTAAAACACATTAGGACACTAATGCTGTTTTTATTTTCCTTAAAACAATGAAGCAAGAGGTCGCTGTGAACAGATGTGTGTGTGTGTGTAAACCTTTCCCTCACTCGTTCCTGCTCTGAAGTCAGCGGTTCACTAATGAATCCCTCGTTCCTCCAGCAGTGAGAACATCTGCTCCTCAGCCGGAGACTCATGACACAGCAGAGATACTGTACGTGTGTGTGTGTGTGTGTGTGTGTGTGTGTGTGTGTTTTTTCCCTCTCTTATTCTTGTTATTCTCACATTTCCTCCCTTCCTTTACAAGTGTAGCTATGGCTTTCAAGTTCCATCACTAATGTTCAAAAATTTGGGTTTGGCCAGGTTTATTAATGTTTTTGAAGTCTCCTCTGCTCACCAGAGCTGCATTTATTTGATCAAAAATACAGTAAATATTTTTAGAATGTAAAATAACTATTTTCTGTGTGAATATCTGTTAAACTGTAATTTATTTCTGTGATGCGCAGCTGTATTTTCAGCATCATTACTCCAGTCTTCAGTGTCACATGATCTTCAGAAATCATAATAATATGCTGATTTGCTGCTCAGGAAACATCTCTGATGATATGTTTAGTAAATGTCGTCACACGTCACTCACTTCAGCGGCTCGTCGAAGCGGATGGTGGCGGCGCAGTGGAAGACGATGTTGATACAGGAAGTGAGTGTTTGCACATCCTCTGGACTGATGGCCAGGCCGGGCTGCGTGAGCTCGCTGCTGATGGGGATGATCTTCTGATGAAAGTCAGGATTATCTTCACGCACACGGTCGAACAGCTGCAACACACACAGACAAACATGTCAGATTCACTAGAACAAAACATGACAATGATCATTCTTCACGCGCTCTACAGTATTCACACATGAGGGCAGTAAGTTACGGCTACACTAATTCAAATTAAATGAACAGTATTATTTGGAAATGTAATGAGAACCACCAGTGAGAGTAAAAGTAAGCAAGTAAGTCCAAATATTCCAAAAATAGGAATTTGGTTAGTAAACACAATTAAGCTCATTTAAATAAAATAAATTATGCATTATTTGAAAACCCAGTCATAATCACCACTGAAAATGTTTACAATAAATAAATAAATCAATAAACAAACAAACATTTACAAATGGAATTAGGAACATTAGGAATTTAAGTAGTAAATAAAATTAAGCTAATTTAAATTGAATAGTGTAAATTAATGTACTAACTAATGTCAAATACCATTGAAAAAACGACAATAAAAAACTAACAAAAATCAATCAATACTGTATTATTTTAAAACCTAATGAACAGCACCATTATGATAAATAATGTATGATAATAATGTACTTACTGCCAGAGCAAAAACAAGACAATAAGATTGCAATATCATTAATCATTAAAATATTCATGTTAATTTAAATATAATAAATATTTTATTAATTATTTATTATATGAAAACCTAATGAGAATCACCACTGATGAAATAAAATAACATAAAATAAGCAAATTACAAAAAACATTTGAATTGTCCATAAAAATAACCTTACAATGCATGGTTCTAAAACAGGCATCATTTTCACACTATTATTAAGAAACGCAATTTCTCATCTGATTTTGTGGTAAAATGAGGTCTGTTTACATGAGAATTCATCCTTCCAGAGACATTATGTAATTTTCAGTTGGCCAAACAGCAAGATGCAAATGACAAATCTCATCATATTATGTCACAGACTTCAGCATTTATGTAAAGGAGAAAACTGCAGAGTGAATAAATTAGATATTTCTTGACCGTATCCAAACACGCAGGCATTCAGCATTGCATGTTTGAAGCGGTACACAGCTGATGAATGCGCTGTGATTTCTGTAATCTGATATCAAAAGAGGATTTGCAGAGACTGCCGTCTTCTCTGACACACATGTGCTGACTTATGTTACCCACAATTCCAAGGGTCTGGCAGTGGCACATTCCTGCAGCCGCAGCCAATCAGAATCATTTCTGGACGTAACATGTGACCCCCTGTAACCCCAGCAGCAGGCACCTGCCGAGGGCCGGACAGATGCTGACAGCTGTTGAGCCTCTCGGTCCAGTCACGCTTTTCAATGCATATTTATCCAAGAGAGATTAGCATTTCCAAAAGAAAACAGTGCATGCCATAAGAATAATATTGAAGTCTGAGGTGTAAACGTAACACCAGAGCTGCTTTATAGTCGCACTGAAAATATTCATCAAATCACTTTCATTTTCCAATAAACAAAACAATGCAATAACTTAACATTTTCATGAATTACATTCTCTAAATTATTCATACATCATGGTCATTATATAAAAATTAAATAAATACTGTATTATTTGAAAACCTATTTGAAAAAAATCACAATAATAAGTTTGAGGTGTAAACGAAATGCCAGAGCTGTTTTAAAGTTGAACCAAATATATTAAATTAATTTCAATTAAAAAAATAATCAAATAATTGTTTACAACTTAACAAAACTAATAAATCACAATAATAAAAACATTTAAACAAACATTAAACAAATTTAATTTGCTTAATTTAATTAATAAAACAAAAAATAATACAAAATATTAAAATAAATGTAATTTATAAAAATAAATAAAACAAAAAATAATAATTTAAAAAACAAATTATTAATAATAAAATACTAATTATCAAGCAAATAAATTTCATTCACAAAAAAGTAAAATAGAAAACTATTTTATTACATTAAACTAATTATTATTCAAAAACATGGCAAATACATTCAAATACTTCATTTAAAAAAATAATAATAATAATAATAAAATACAAATTGAAAAAAAACAAAACATAAATCAATAAATACATTTTATTAAAAAAAAAAAAAACAGAAACAATAAAAAAATATTAATCAAATTTCATGTACAAATAAAAAAAACTTAAACAAATGTAATTATTTAGAGAGCACATAAACCCCATATAGACATATCAGAACTAAAAGGATGTTTCTGAGTCATCAGTGTAAATGAGGACCAATCAGCAACAAGCATGCAAATAAGCACCAATGCACATTCAGTATGCAAATAAACTAAACCGTTTAAACGCCACATCTAAACCTTCCTGAAGGACGAGAGCTTGTAAAACACGTCACAATCCAGTTCTTCCTGACTTTTTCCCAGGAATTGCTGTGAAATTGTCTGGGAGAGCGTGGCTGTTATAAAGTCTGCTTGCATGTTGAGACACGGATCATTTTATTTGCTTTCGCAATGTGTTCGTTTATTCAAGATGTGAGATGTACAGTACACATTCACTCATGTTTCAATAGAAACACTTTCCGACACAATTACTGAGAAATCTCTAATGTCACTTAGACCTGTTGCTATACGAGGCATTTTTTGAATATTAAACTATACAAAAAAAGTAAATATATATATTAATAATTTAAATATATATTTTTATCTAGATATATTATACATACATATTTTTTAGTTATTTAATTTTTAAAAAAATATTAAACTATAATTTACAAAAAAAATCTGATTTATTAAAAAATAAAAATATAATTAAAAATAAGAAATAAAAAAAACTAATTATTAATCAAATAAATGTAATTTACAAATAAAACAACAAACAATATTTTTGTTTGGCAAACTAAAACTGAACTAAAAAAAAACGAAATAGTAATATTTAAAAAAATTATTTATAAAAATGAAAATGTTAAAAACAATTACTCAAATTAAACTAAAATATAAACTGGAACTATAGGATACAAGCTAATTCAAAATATTAAAACTAATAAAGATATTTAAAAGTAAATAAATAGAATAATAAAACAATAATACAATTATTAATAAAATACAATTTCCTTTGCAAAATATAGAACAAATACAAAACAATAATAAAAACAAATTATTAATCATTTAGAGAGCACATAAACCCCATTCAGAAACCATAACAAGACATAACAGAACTTATTTGGCTAATATGAAGTTTGTGCGCACCAATAAAGCAACTATCTTGTCTTTTACAACCAGAGGATTTTCAAATGCAAATGAAAGTGCATGATTTTAATACGAGTAATCATCAGGGTAGCATTTCCCACACACTCAAACATGCAAATACTACGGGAATAAAGCCCTAATGATATCATCTGAACACATAAGTCTGGTCATAACGGCCATTAACACAGATTACTGGACAGATCAGACAACATATGGACCATGAGAGCAGTCTAGCCAACACACACACACACACACGCACACACACACACACACACACACGCACGCACGCACGCACGCACACATAGAGAGTTTAGTCATTGCTGGACAGAGATGCAGTTAAAAGGTCAAGACGCACAAAACTAGGAGAACCTGGTCAATATCAGACAGGAGGAATGTGAGGAGCTAGAACGCTTTTCAGAAATGCAGTAAACGAAGGCAACGAGTGCAGCCGCTTCAGCCAAACTTCCTGCCGTGGTTTGTGTCACCGGGCAACAAAAACAACACACACCCGCATGCTGGCATAGGATGAAGCTCCATATGCTGCTGCAGCGCTGCCAGAGCGAACGCCCTCACACACACACAAACACACACTCTCACACACACACACTCTCTCTCACACACACACACACACACACGCACACACACACACAAACTCACACGCACTCACTCACAGTAGAATACAGCATATCAGCATTAATACTGCTATCAAAACTACAACTTTTCAAAACTACTCAACTGCTCATTGAAATAAAGCTACATAAAAAAATTGAATGGAAACACAAGGTGAAAAACTACAATTGGAAAACTAAAACTGAACTAAAAAACAAACAAACAAACATTAAACTGATTAAAGTTAATTGATTAAAAAAATGGCAAAAGCACACACCTAAATTACTAAAAATTAAATTAAAATTTAAATAAAAACTGAAATTATAAAATAAACGCTAATTTTAAAAAAATGAATAAAACTAATTATATAAATAATACTAAAATAGCACTAATTAAAACAGTATCCAAAACAAACAAACAAAAAAAAGTAAAAACATTTTGTTCATTGAAATAAAGCCGAAACAAAACAGAACATAAACCTCGTTGGCAGTGTGGCGACACACAGCGGCGTCCCGAGTTCGAATCCTGGCTCACGGACCTTTCCGGATCCCACTCCCTCTCTCCCCCACTTCTCTTCCTGTCAGATCTAGACTGTCCTAGCGTAATAAAGGCAAAAATGCCAAAAATTAAGATTTATTTACGATTTAAATATCAATAAAAATTATAATAAAATAATACTATTTAACAGTTTAAACAGTATCTGGGTTATTCTAAAACTAAAATAACTAAATAAATTTTTATTAATAGAAATAAAGCTGAAATAATATATAAATATTAAAAGAAAAACAGAAAGTTGAAGCACTTAAATGCTAAAAACTAATTCAAACTATTAAAATCAACTGTAATAGAATAAAAATAACAATAAAAAAACACTTTTACATATATAGTTAAAACAGCATCAGGTTTATTATGTTTTACTAAAACTAAAACAATTAAAAATAAATTGAAAAGCAATAAAGCTGAAATTAAATAAAATATTAATTAAATAAAACAGAAATATTAGGTGAAAATAGCTAATTAGAAAATGAAATTTGAAAGTTTAAGTTGACGCAATAATTTCTAACAGCAATAAAATTAAACCTAGTTAGTAATAAAAAATCATTAATAATTATTTGAATTATTTAAAATAAGTAATTAATTATAATCAGCAATTAACAATAAAGTAATTAATAAGTATTTACTAATAAATGTTAATGTAAGTTTGTATAAAATCACAACTGAAAATATAAAAATGAAAAGTAATTTAAAATATTAATAAAAACTATAATAGTATTTACAATAGTAACTGCTGATCTATGTGGAAACAGTTCAAACTCCTCGATTAAAGCTGCACTGTACGAGAAAGGAAGAATAAAGGACGCACAGGTTCACTGTATTGAGGTCAGGGGTTCGCCGGGGTCGAGCACTGTAAACATTTGCTCTCTCTGTGCTGGAAAGAGCAAGCGGTGCATTGTGGGACGGCGGTCGCTCTGTGCCAGTCTCCACCGAGACCCCATTGTGTGTGAGTGGGAGAGAGAGAGAGAGAGAGACAATACTCCTTCAGTTCCTGCACTGCTGTGGCCTTGGGTGAATGATAAACACACACACACACACACGCTTGAAGAAACAGCAGAAGCGCAGTCGACTGGACAGACTGAAGGAGGGACGGAGGTCAGAGAGAGAATGAAGGCGGATCACAGGTAGATCAGTATCCCTGCCTGAACCGACTGAAGAATTCACCCGCGGGACGTCCAGCACTCAACAAACACTGGGGCGTCCACAATACAAATCAGAATCAATTCAGAAATTCATACAATTTCAACTATAAAATATCATTTCATTAACAAAAGTGATAAAAAATAAAATATATATACAGTCAGGTCCATATACATTTAGACACAGGCCCAATTTTGATTATTTTAGCTGCTGAGTGCTGACCAAAACATATTCAAGTTACAGTTATATAATGATTATGGTCTTAAAGTGCACACTGTGAGCTTTAATTTGAGGGTATTCTCATCAAAATTGGAGGAAATGTAATAATATATAAATAATATATTATATATTAAATAATATATAATAAACAATCATCCTCACTTATCATATTAATATTATTATTGTTTTTATTATATATATAACTTATATATATAAAGTTATAAAAGCTATATAAAGCTTGTCTCTTTAATAATTTAAGAATCTGGTGAAAGGCCATTTAAATGACAAAACAATAGACACGTTTGTTTGAGACTGAATGGCTTCCCACATTAATTTTCCTTCTCCAAAAAAACACACACACAAGCTGCCTGTGTGAGCGCCTGAGCATTCCTTACATATACAACCTACACACACACACACACACACACACTCATGTTTGCTTGGCTATCTTAGTGAGGACACTCCATAGACTTCCACTGATTTTCTATCAGGTTAATGATAATTTCTATCAGCTAACCCAAACCCTAACCATCTGCAGAACACTAGATTTACATCAACAACATCTTCTGGCTGATTTACAAGTCTTTCTAAGTACTGAGGACCAGTCAAGTGTCTCACTAGTGCGTTATCAAAGTATTTCACAATATTAATCACAAGTACACACACACACACACACACAAGCTGTAATGAGGTTTATATCAGAGGTCAGAGAGTTTGCGCAGCGCTGACAGAATCTGTTCGTCTGACCCATAATACTGATCTGCATCTCATAACAGCTGAGCTTCACTCTGGCTGGAGTCCAGATCTCACATCAGTCCGGCACAGACCGGATCAAACTACTGAAACACCAGCAAACCCATTCCTCAGTTCACATGCAGTTCAGAAACATCACTCACTTTAAATGAACTATAGTGATCGAAACAAAACTAAATCCATAATAAAGCATTGATTACTAGAAATACAATAAATGTGAAATAAAACAAATTTTTTATTAGGTTGTCTAGATGTGCTCATTTGACTAAAACTGGAGAAAAAAAAAAATATATATATTAAAAAATCTCTATAAACAAAATAAATAAATAAAACACAAATGTATACAAAAAAAAACACACCACATTACTAAAAAACATGAAAAAATGTTTTCAAAAACAAACACTTTAACGTTTTTAAAAACGTTTTTGAAAAAAGCAAAGAAAAAAAGCAAATACATATTTGCTAACATTTTGCTAGGATATTGCTGTTGAATATCAACTGACATAATATATGATATTTGATAATGATGATGATGATAATAATAATAATATAGTTTTTCATATTTCTAATGATCATAATTATAATGATCATATATTTAATATAGTTAATTTTTATTTATGTATTTTAAAAATATATGAATGCTAAATAATAATAGTAGTAGTAATAGTAGTAGTGTTTCTTTGCTGGAAAGTTCTGCTCAAACTAAACGAAGGGGAGTAAGTTCTTCTCTGTTACTGCGGATGTGACTCATCATCCTCACATTAAGCAAGCTTTCTCCAGCAGCAATGAAGCCGCACCTACAGCACGATCAGACGCGCATGGAAATACAGATCATAACTCATATGGATGGCGTTTGTGGTGGGGTTTCCATGGCAACAAGGTTTCAGGTTTCGAGTTCAGGGAAACAATAGTGATAAACCCTGATGACCTCCAGCGAGCAGACACAGATGCGGTCACTGTTCTGCACGCTTTGACGTAACTAACTATTTAAGGATCAACACACGGTTAACTGAAGTTCGGACGCGATCAGATGTCATCTGATCATAAAGACCGAGATATCCAACGACAAAAACACAATATAAGCATCAGGCTTCTGTCTGAAAAACCTGAAAAGCGAGAAAAGAAGAAAAGCACAATGTTCTAGAAAGGTTACAAATGTTTTAAAAGTGAGCCAAACACACTGATTCTGATGATAAATAAGAGCTGCTCCATTAATAGAAACGAAACCTGAAATCACGATTTGGCTTATCAAATCACAATCGCTGAGATTTTATTAAATAAAGGTCATTTAAGTATCTTTCCAAAATTGTAATAAGAAACACTTATGAAGCGACTGTCATTGACAAAGTGGAAGCTTTAAAAAATTTGAAATGGAAAATACAATGCAAAATTATTATTACATTATTATTATTATTATTATTATTAAAGTATTATTATTATTATTCTTAATACAATAGTAATTTTTCTTATTTTGTTTAATATTTTTTTATTAGTAATAAAAATCATAATGAAAACAACAACATTATTATTATATTTATAATAGCTATATTATTTAATATTATTTAATATTCATCCATGGCTAAAACAATAATTAATATTATTTGTATTATTATTATACTATTATTATTATTTTAGTCACTGAGATATATATATATATATATATATTCTTAATACAACAGTAATGTTTCTTATTTAGCCATTTTTATTATAGTTATTTTTTTATATTATTTTCATTATCTTTCATTTTATTATGATTTAACATTTTGTAACTATATTTAACATTTTTTAATTTATTATTATCTTATATTATTATTATTACAACTTCCTCTACTATTATTACTATTATTGTTATTGATATAAATTCTTAATACAACAGTAATTACTTATTTTGTTTGTATTTTTAGTAATATTAATAATAGATCTAATAAAACAATTGTCCTTTACTATTATTATTGACAATATATTATATAACAATAATAATCATAATCAGTCATTTTATTGTTTATTCTTATTTTAAGCAATATTTTTATTCAGTAATTTTAATAATTCTAATGAAAACAGCATTATTATTATTAATAACGATTAACAACAATATTATCATTAATAATGATAATCATAATTATTTTATTGTAATATATATATATATATATATATATATATTTTTTTTTTTTTTTAAAAAAACAATAGATCTTATTTGGTTTAACATTATTATTCAGTCATAATAATCATAACCATTATGAATAATAATAACAGTATGTAATTTTATAGAGAAATACTGCTTTTAAAGTCATATTGATACTTAAATACCAAAAAATAAATAATTAAATAAATAATAATAATAATAACAGCAATTGCAATTTTGATCAGAAAACGTGTTTTCAATTTTTCTCTCCAAGTTGTAAAGAGAAGGCTGGTGAGTAAAGGTCACAGTGTGAGTCTCACCTTACACTTCATCATGTCCTGGACACGCTCGGACATGGACTGACCCGCCTTGGGCCGGACGAGGATGTAGAGGGCGTTGACGTCGGGACAGGAGCGCAGCAGCTTCTCCACCAGCACCTTCCCCATGAAGCCCGTGGCTCCGGTGATCAGCACGTTCTTCCCCGCGTACCACTCCGAGATCGAGGCCATGATGACGCCGCTCCTGCTGAACACTGACACACAGAGATTCACCTGATTCCCAGTCAAAACACACGCAGCTTCCTCCGTCAGCGGGGGAATGCAGCCCACTGCTTCCTCAGGACACAGTCTGACTCCTGGCCACTAATGAAGACTCACTGGACACTTTTGTAGTCTCTGCCCCTCGGATACTGTCTGCAAAGATGTTCAGAGGGAACTGTAATGTGTTGCCAAAAGGTTGCTAGGTGCTTTCTTAATTCTTACTAGCGCTTAGAGGTGAAAATCATGCGTCTGATCACTGAAGTAAATGCCCACACACACACACACACACACACACACACAGCTGTTTGTTTAACACTTGTATGAGAGATGTTTAGAGAGATCAGTGATGTTTGACTTGGCAAACACAGCTAATAAAGCAGGAGTAGGCGCGTCTAGATGGATTCATTTGTCCTGGAGTCACTGTGTTCATTCAGTTTCATCAATGAAAAGAAAGAAAATACAGCTTATATTCTCTCTCTCTCTGAGTATCTTCTGCCACTATTACAAGAATCAACAAGACAAGACAACATTACACAAGAATAACTGTCTTTGTCATATAATGCAATTATTATATGTAATTAACGTAAAACAATTTATTTTATATATTTTAAATACTAAATATTTAATAATTAATATGTAATACTACTATATTAATATTATTAAATATTACAATATTATATATAATATTAAATATGCAATATAGGCTTTATTAAATTTTTCCCTGCATAACTAAGAAAAATAATAAATATTCAATTTTTAACTACAGTTATGAGTATATCTAAAATGTATACATATCTTATAATCCTACAATCAATCAGTTTTCTCATTTTGTCTCTCATAGTTGAGGTATACCTATGATGAAAATTACAGGCCTCTCTCATCTTTTTAAGTGGGAGAACTTGCACAATTGGTGGCTGACTAAATACTTTTTTGCCCCACTGTATATATATAGTTTTGGAATAAGGGATTATTATATTATATTATATTAAATAGCTGATTATTATATAATTTTGTAGGAAACCGTAATACATCGTATTTTTCAGGATTCTTTGATGAACAGAAAGTTCAAAAGAACAGCATTTATTTGAAATAATCTTCTGTAACATTATAAATGTCTTTATTGTCACTTTTGATTATTTTAATGCATCCTTGATAAATAAAATTACTCATTTATTTAAAAAAAAAAAAAAGTTCCAGATAACAGTTTTGCACACTTCTGTGTTTTTACAGAGAAGTTGATGTTTTGAATAACAACTTCATCACATTTGTGGACCTCAGTTTGGAAAGTTGTAGAAGTAGATCAGTTCCTCCTAACGGTTTCTAAAGGTTTTCAGGTGTAAGGCGTGAGAGAGTCGCAGCAAACACAGCATCCTCTTTCCTGCTCGGATACAGCAGCTCTGATGCTCCAGACGCCTCGAGTTCACCCGGCTTTTGCATAAGGCACTATTCTGAAGAACTTTAGGCAAATGTGTATTTGGCAGCTTTCAATGTCACAGGGAGACTGAAAAGGAAATCGTTTACTACACATACTAAAGCATGTGTAACGCTCTCTATATAAATATTTTTAATATTTTAATAAATTCATATTTTAATATTTGTTAAATAATAAAAATATACATTTTAATACAAATAATATTAATATAATATTATAAATATACACAATTTAAAATAAATTAATCTATTAACATAAAATGAATTTGTTACTAAACATTTGTGGAATTTTGCTCAAATTCCTTGAATTGCAATACACTAAATTCATCTTCCTGTTATTCCAATACAACTCCTAGATGGGTGTGTGTGTGTGTGTGTGTGGCCGATTCCATTCAAATTCCACCTTGTGCATTTCAAAGGAAGCCAATTCTTCAATCCTGATGCGCGCACACACACACACACACACACAGAGTCCTCAGCAGGATTACCACCACCGAGAAAGCAAACAGGTGACCCGTGGACCCTTAACACACACATGAACCGGCTATAACTTACACGTCAACTACACCAGTGATTTATTATGCAGTGTCAGACACAAGCTATATTCCAGCTGCGATCTGATCCAGTCCTGATACAATACACCACAACAGAAGTCCGCTTTAATTTGGGCTTGGATTACAGGAAGTGTGGACGAGAGCAACATTATCTGCTTCAGCCTCGTTTTACCGAGGAATTTATCAATTAATTCTTTAAAAATCCTACAATGTGATTTTCTGGATTTTTTTTCTCATTTTGTCTCTCATAGTTGAGGTATACCTATGATGAAAATTACAGGCCTCTCTCATCTTTTTAAGTGGGAGAACTTGCACAATTGGTGGCTGACTAAATACTTTTTTGCCCCACTGTATATATATAGTTTTGGAATAAGGGATTATTATATTATATTATATTAAATAGCTGATTATTATATAATTTTGTAGGAAACCGTAATACATCGTATTTTTCAGGATTCTTTGATGAACAGAAAGTTCAAAAGAACAGCATTTATTTGAAATAATCTTCTGTAACATTATAAATGTCTTTATTGTCACTTTTGATTATTTTAATGCATCCTTGATAAATAAAATTACTCATTTATTTAAAAAAAAAAAAAAGTTCCAGATAACAGTTTTGCACACTTCTGTGTTTTTACAGAGAAGTTGATGTTTTGAATAACAACTTCATCACATTTGTGGACCTCAGTTTGGAAAGTTGTAGAAGTAGATCAGTTCCTCCTAACGGTTTCTAAAGGTTTTCAGGTGTAAGGCGTGAGAGAGTCGCAGCAAACACAGCATCCTCTTTCCTGCTCGGATACAGCAGCTCTGATGCTCCAGACGCCTCGAGTTCACCCGGCTTTTGCATAAGGCACTATTCTGAAGAACTTTAGGCAAATGTGTATTTGGCAGCTTTCAATGTCACAGGGAGACTGAAAAGGAAATCGTTTACTACACATACTAAAGCATGTGTAACGCTCTCTATATAAATATTTTTAATATTTTAATAAATTCATATTTTAATATTTGTTAAATAATAAAAATATACATTTTAATACAAATAATATTAATATAATATTATAAATATACACAATTTAAAATAAATTAATCTATTAACATAAAATGAATTTGTTACTAAACATTTGTGGAATTTTGCTCAAATTCCTTGAATTGCAATACACTAAATTCATCTTCCTGTTATTCCAATACAACTCCTAGATGGGTGTGTGTGTGTGTGTGTGTGGCCGATTCCATTCAAATTCCACCTTGTGCATTTCAAAGGAAGCCAATTCTTCAATCCTGATGCGCGCACACACACACACACACACACAGAGTCCTCAGCAGGATTACCACCACCGAGAAAGCAAACAGGTGACCCGTGGACCCTTAACACACACATGAACCGGCTATAACTTACACGTCAACTACACCAGTGATTTATTATGCAGTGTCAGACACAAGCTATATTCCAGCTGCGATCTGATCCAGTCCTGATACAATACACCACAACAGAAGTCCGCTTTAATTTGGGCTTGGATTACAGGAAGTGTGGACGAGAGCAACATTATCTGCTTCAGCCTCGCTTCCAAGAATGAAGAAACAAACACGATGCAACCCAACGAACAATCACTCTCACCCCTAAAAAAAAACATGAATCCCACAGGAAACGATCTACCCAAACAGGAAGAGGGTTTCAGATCTATTGAGATACTTCAACATTCAGAAGATTGGTTTCTCTGAAAGACGTTAATGCTCAGATGCATTAAACTGATCAAAAGTGACAGTAAAAGACATTTATACTGTCAAAAAAGATAATAAATGTTGTTTTTAAGCTTTTTTTTTTTAGACACAAATATGAAGCAGCACAACTGTTTTCAACACTGATAATAATTAGAAATGTTTCTTGAGCAGCAAATCAGCATATTATTATGATTTCTGAAGATCATGTGACACTGAAGACTGGAGTAATGATGCTGAAAATACAGCAATCAATTAAATTTGAACAGATATTCACATGGAAAACAGCTATTCTAAATCGTAATAATATTTCACAATTTTCCTGTATTTTTGATCAAATAAATGATGCTTTGATGAGCAATGGAGTGGAAGATAATGCATGATGCAAGAACAGGAGAAAACAAAGACGAGAGAAACTTGTGAAGGGGAAATAAATGCAAATGTCCCATGAACCTGCAGGGTCAGATCAGAGGATTTCACCAGTAGCCTAAAGTGATTCGTGACACCTGCTACTGACCTGAGATCATTTTCATTGCATTAGCATGTGTGTCTAAATATAGTGTATGCTGTATCACTTGCCATTTTTAAATATGGAAATGGTATGAATTTGTTTTAACACAATATGTTAACTCCGTGAACAATGAAAAAGCATCTTCGGTTTGAGAAAATGCCATTTTTGTCAATAAATCAATATTTAGGGTATTTTCGAATTCACTCGCCATACATTACATGTATATGATGACCTATAGCGAAAATTACAATTAAATTCATATAATATTCTTTTGTTTTATTTTTCTAAATGCCAAGAAAAAGTGGAGTTAAGAATATCAAAAAATACATTTGGACAAATCTTTTCAAAGTTTTACAAAGAACAAATCAATAGCAAAATGACTGACTGTTAGAATTGTAGAAATTTATCACGCTCCAGCATGTGACATCCTTTTGGAGGGAAACTGCAAGTAAGCAAAAAGCAGCAATGGATTTGATTGACTAAAGTCTGATATACATTTTTAGTAATACATTTCAACACAAACATATTCATTTTTCATAAGTTCAAGAGTTCAAAAGGTTCTGAGCTAATACTACTCATAGTAGGCATGTTGATTTACTGCCATTAGTCACATTACAGACATTGAGTGTGTGTGTGTGTGTGTTCATTGATTTGCTCTACATCAGCTGAACATCCTCTGAGAGCACTGAGAGCAGATTGCTAACAACATCATTAGCTAATGCATCACTCACTGCTCCATGTACATGAAGAGATGGCCAATAGTGGCATCTCATTAGAACAACACGCTTTAAACTCAAGCGCAATAAATCCACTATTATCAGAGGGGTTCGCTCTTACTGACGGTCATATTCCAGCTGATTTACTGCCCAGAACTCTTTAGCAACCGCACAGCAACGACCCACAATGGGTGGCTTACCCACAAACACTTGCAGTTTCTTCAG